CCTCACAAAAAAAATAAAAGAAAATAAAAATAAAATATATATAAAATTTTAATATATAGGCTACATAAATTTATGTGAGTACTCATAGAATTACACATGTGTATGTGTGTTTGTACACACACATATGTACATTTATTTCTAAGAATCCTGAAAGATAAAATGGATTTTCAACACTTTTGAACCAAATTTTTGAGGAGATTCACAAAAGTAAAAAGAAATCTGCTGGCAAAAGCCACTCCATGATATACACGCCCTGACACCACTGTAGACCCAGCACTTGTCTCCCTTGTGGGTCCCACCTCTGTGACACTACAGGGTGACTTGTGGCACTCATAATGAAGACCCTGCTGAATTTTAGATGCTCAGCTGCAAGCTAAATCTAAGAAGATTAGAATTGGTTTGGCATAATTTTCGTTTTCGAAATACTGTATTACACTCTAAATCTTGAGCCACTTGGTAAGACTTATAATGACAGGCTTCAATTAACTACACTATTACATTAATAAGATCTCTTGCTCTAATCCTTCTAGAAAAATACAAGTTTACCTTAATGACCAAACCAACGGTAAGAGTTTTGTAGTAGCATTCTTCCTAAATTTCTCTTGACTCTGCTCACGTCTCTCCAGCTCCCCCACACCCACCATAGTCTAAAATGCTGTACCACCTTACCTCACCCAGACCACTGCAACAGCCTTCTGTCTGCTCTCCCTACAGACACTACTGGGCTGCTCCCATCCATTCTCCACATCGTGCCCAGCTTTGTCTTTAAAAAGTGTACATCTGACCATGTCATTCCACGGGCCTAAAACCTTTCCAAGACTTCCCACTGCTCTTATATACAAAGATCAAAATACAGGGCCTGTGGTCCAGCCCCTGCCTTCCTTTTGCGCCACACCACCTGTCACTCCCCTGGCTCTGTTCTCTCTCTCTGCTTTCAGGTTAAACAAGCTTTCTTTTAATTCCTTCGGCATATGATAGAGTCACCAGCTACAGCAAATTTTTTGTACATGAAGTGCCCGCTACCTGAAATACCGTTTCCTCCACTTGTATGCCCACCTTTCACCTAGTTAATATCTATTGCTCCTTCAGATTTCAGCTTAGTCATCATGCCTTCTGTCATGTGCACTCAATACCACCACATACATCTTATATGGTGATGTTTGAGCAATGTCAGTCTCTCCTACTAGAATATAAGCTCCACGAGGCAAAGAGATCATGTCAAGTTTTTTTTGCTGGAATAAAGAATGTCAGAAAGAAAAAAAAATAGACATAATGTAGTTTGCCTAAGTACTACCTGAGTTCATTTTGCATTCACTGAATTGTTTTTTTAAACTGCCTAGATTGTGTGTCTTTTAATAAAGCATATACTTTTAACAACAACCAAGCCTCTCTTGGAATGTTCAGAAGATGACTCAAATAAAAACCATTAACTGACCTTCCACGGCATCCTGAGAAGTTTTTGTACAAGCCTGGCCCATAAGCAATCGTTGGTGGATTCCTGTGCTCTGTATCACTGACTTTTAATTTAAATTTCCTTCTCAGGGGGTGTTTTTAATATCATTGGATGTGCAGAAATCTGCTCTGAATTTACATAATTTAAAATCGGTCTTCAAAGTTGGTGATTTATGAAAAACACTGACTTGATGATGGTTTACAACATTTTTCCCTCCATGCTGGGAAAAATGAAACCTCCCAATTCTCATTAATGGAAACAGAGCTGAAGAGACAACTGTGGCTGCCGAACGTTACCGAAACTGCCAGGAAATTCTAACAGCAAAAACAAGGTTGGGCTGGCAGATTAATGTGCCTTTCATGTACAGTCATGAAATATAAAACCATGGAATTTCTAATGTGAATAGACATTTTTGTCAATACTTATCTAGGCACTTTTACGCTGTATATTAGAGAAGAGATGAAATAGAGGAATGCTCGCTTTCCTCTACAAAGCTAGATCCCAATGAAGATGTTTTCATATGCTACCTATTCAGTTTGCAACTTTTAGAGGTGCCCTTGAGGCTTATTATTCTCTTTACTAAAGATAATGAGCCCACATATTTCCTCTGTTATGGGAAAGTAAACCTGAATAAAATTTGCTGAATGCGTATTTATGCGGGAGAGGTCTCAGACTGGATTTAAGCCAAGCTCAGAGCCCCTTCCTCTTTTTTCATCCAGCAGTTCATTTATTCATTTAACAAACAATTGTTGAACACCTACTATGGGACAGATTTTTTTGCAGGGGCTTACGAACTAGTGAGAAACCTAGGAGGATAAGCCAAGCAGGAATGTGTGACACAAAGCAGTCAACACTCTTCTGCAGGTAGATACAGACTTTTCTTAGAACACACCTGTAGAGCGCAGATGCCTTGGCATCTCATTCGGTGAGTGGCAACAACCTGCTTCCCACCACACTTTCCACCCCAGCTCAGATTTATTTAGTTAGTTCTTCCTTCCCCACACACCTGTAAATGCACAGCCAGTAGCTTCTGTAAGCCAGTGGTACTGCCCTGCTCAAAAAGATTCCAGGCTTTGTCACTTCATTCCTTTTGGAGTGTGGGCCTCACGACGCTTCTGAACATCAGGGAGTTTTATTAACAACAGGGTATATCCGATATCTTAAAGAACGTCATCCAATTTCCAAAAAACATAATTTATATTCCCTTAAGCTTAAAAGTTAAATTCATCGTAGATGACAGTAGGGTATGTATTATGGAATCAGAAGCATGCCACTAAGTCCTTGAAGAGAGCCTTGTATTTTTGTAAAAGCAAGGCCACTGGCAAATGTTTGTTAAATTGTTGAACTAATTGCCATATCTCACAAACAAATGAACATTCCTGAACTAGAGTGTTGGTATTCATTTTGAAATCCAAGGAGCCAAGGAATCAAAGTGAATTGCGCTGTCCCTGCATAGAGTCTAAAAATTCTTCTGGCCAAGAATGGTACGGCCACATGCGAAGAGGGTCCATCAAGAGCAGCAACACTCAGAAAAACCGTGAAGAAGGTAAAAGTTGCCTGCGCATCCCTTCACATTTCCCATTGGGCATCTCCCTGCCCTGTACTTGTTCATGCAACAATATATGTTGATTGAGTGCCTACTGTCTGCCCAGCACTGTTCTGGGTGCTTGGGATACATCACTGAAAACAAGCGAAGTGACATTCTACCTCCTGTCTCCATTCAAGACCTTTTTCAAGAGGACCCACCCTGTGCCGGGAACTGTGCTCAGCGCTTGGAATAGTGACGTAGAAACTTAGCATAGCATCTGCCCAACAGTGAAGCTGCTTGCAAATACGATACAATTAGAAAGCGGAAACCGTTCAGGTACCGTTTATCTTACCTTGTAATGAATTGAAGATGGAGAAGAGGTACATGAAAGGGACATTTAAGGGTCCCCAGGCAAAGAAAGCAAAACCCCACGTCATGCCCAGCAGGAAGGTCAGGCTGACCACGCTGCGCAGGTTCCTCAGGACCTCCTCGCGCAGGCTCCGGCTGCTCCTCTTGCCGTTCCTCCCGCAGATCTGCACCATCACCACGATGAACATGGCAACGTTCAGGAAGAACACGACCCCAAAATACCCGGCACAGGCCACATAAAATACAACTGGATCCTGAATCCAACAGCTGAAAGAAGAAGAAGAAACAAGAGAGAATAAGAGATTCATTCCCGTGTCCCGTTGACCGAAGACTTCTCCCGGCTCAGTCTGGGCTGCCGCAGATTTCACAGCTGGGCGTCTCTCAAATGCCTTTAGAAAGTCACTTCATTTTCTGGGGCCTCAATTTACATAGTTCTTTCAGTTTGTTTTAGATAGCCACCATCTTAATATCTAGTTGTTTAAGTCAACAATTAAGAAGAAAACAAGGTGGCCTCTTGAATTCTGACTTGGTGTGAAGATGCCCTTGGTTGGCTCACCCAACAAAAACCAGGTCTAACCCTCTTTTCTCTTATGTGCCTGCACTCCAGAGAAGGGGAAATGGGAAGACTCATTTTCTCAATCTCCTTTGTATTTAAGGGGTGGCCATGTGGACACTGTTCTATAAAATGATACGGAAGCAGAGTTGCTAAGGGATTTTGTGAGAGCTATTCTTGATAGGCTCAACTGGCACGGCCTTATTCCCCATTTCTGCTTCAAACACGAAAGCAAGCTTTGGAGCTGCAGCAATCATCTTATACACATGAGATGAAGGCCAACAAAGTTGCTGCAGAGCTGCTGGTCTTGACATTTTCAGCCACAAAATCAATCCCCGTGTCGCCTACTTCCAAGTTTCTTGCCATGTGAGAAGAGTAAATTCCTACTTATTTAAGGCACGCAGAAATGCAGATTCCATTCTTGCAGACAGAATAATTCCTATTAATATAATTGGTCTAGTTGCTCGTGGGGTATTTTGAGTGTTACTTTGGAAATACAAAAGGAGGAAGGCCATGAGGGTATGCGACAGGACTGGATATTGACTGGATACAAAAGTGTTATGCATCCATGAAATGTATACAGAAATGAGTAAGCTCTTACAGTCAGGAGTAGGCTCTTGATTCATTCAGTAATTCATGCAATCAACAAAGATTTACTGAGTACCTACTGTATGCTAGATAATGTATGAGAGAACTAATTACCAAAACTTAACAATAAAAAAATCTTAGCCTCAATGATCTCACAGTCTGAAGGGAATTTTCCAGATTATTCGAGAACTCACTGATTTCTCCATTCTCCCCATTTCCACATAACACTTGTATTGGCATTGAATCATTCACTGTCTGATACTGCTCTTTAACTCTCTTGAAGATGTGTGTGGGTTTAAGGAGGTGGGAGTATTATGTAATCTCCTCCAAAAGAATGGGTCTTCTGAGTCTAGGAGATAGTACCTTAGACTTCTGAATTCCCCCAGATGACAGAGCACAGCGTTAATACAGAAAAGTAGCTCACACAGTTCAGGGCATTCAATCAATTCATCTGTGGCATAGCAGAGACTTTGGCAAGGCATGCAAACGCACTCCAACCTTCCAAAATTAAGAGGCTCACCACTGGCATGGAAACTTATACTAAACTTCAGGAATCAAAGGATATCTACTCATCACAAATAAATTCCCAACAAGTTTTTATTACTTACAATTCATCACCTTGTTCTTTTCCATAACTTTCTTTTCCATAGACTTCATTTTGGTTTTTGCTCGCTAGAACTATTGACACGACCAAGGCAGGCAAACCTGTTATAAAAAGACCACTACATAAACAACTCTTCTCAAACATCTGGAACTGCTTTATAAGACTGATAACGGCAAGGAAAAAGAAAAGAAAGAAAACACTCCATATCACAAAATCAAATTTCTTAGAACCGGCAACTTGGTTAAAAACAACCATAAAATCCCCTTTCTGTTGGGAAATATCCAGCTCTAATTGGCAACCATCAAAACCTGCTCTTAAATGACAGATATTTAAATATTCTGTTTACTTTCTGGTACCCACTGGAGAACCAGAACCTGCCTTATATTGAATCCAGCACCAGTAAATGTGGCTTCACTGATGAGGACTCTCAGACTGCCCGACTCCAGGCGATAAGGGAATTGCAGCTTATTCCGTCCTTTCTATATAAAGAAAAGCCTTTAGAAAAAGGAGGAGAGGGCCGGCTCCGTGGCTTAGCGGTTAAGTGCGCGCTCTGATGCTGGCGGCCCGGGTTCGGATCCCGGGCGCGCCCCGAGGCACCACTTCTCCGTCCAACGCGAGACCGAGTCCCACGTACAGCAACTAGAAGGATGTGAACCTATGACATACAACTATCTACTGGGGCTTTGGGGGGAAAAAAATGAATAAATAAAATCTTTAAAAAAAAAAAAGAAAAAGGAGGAGAAACACAATGGGGGTATAAAGTCTTTATAGTCTTCTTGATGCTCTTGAGAGAATCAATAAAGTATTTCCATGTCTCTTCCACTGGGGAAATGCTACACTACTCTAACTCCCCGAAAGATGCTCTCATTGCCTTCTAAGGTGGTGCCAAATACCTCGGTAATGTCTCAGACTTCTATACTGCCATCTGAAAAAGAGATTTGTGAGAAAGCTCTAAAATGCCTGGTTTGATAGGAAACCCAGATAAAGAAAGGAGCCCGATTATAAGATTCCACACAGGTTAATACAACCATCCACGTCTGGCTGAGGAATCACGTTAAGAAGTGCAAGGCAAGAATTCTGTCCGTATTCTGGCTGTACACACAAAAATAACATTCTCTCTCTGGTTTCCAAGACCTGGGCCTGTGTCTAGGGGGTCAGTATAGCTAGGAGTCTGACTGGCCTTTATGTTTTGGAACATAATGGAAATGCACCACTGCCTGCAAGCTGCTTCTTCAGTCCTGGGTGGGCTGGCTCTGGGCTCAGGAAATAAGTCTGTGGTGACTCAGGAGCTAGGGCTTTTTCCTTTACTCCTGAATTTAGTGAGGACTGTTGAATAGCTTTAAAAAATACCATTCTGAGGAAGACCTTTCCTTAGGATATATATACCCAATCCACATTCTTTGCAATTTTGAAGTTTCTTTTAGAGGTGCTATTCTTTCGAAATAGGATTTTCCTATGAGAACCCGGCCATTTCCAGGACAATAAAAAGAAAAGCAAAAAATCTTAGAAGGCTTACCCCAGCCGATGATACAGAATTTCAGGATATATCGGCGAATGTAAGTGTTAAATACTTTAACCAGAGCAATGTACATGTGAATCGCTTCTAGACCCATCCAGGTAAAGGTTGCAAGAAGGAAGAAATGCAGCAGGGCAGCCACTGCCGTGCAAAGTCCATCCACATGGAATGAGGTGATCCAGCCGTCCAAGAGGAAGAGGAGATTCAGGAACAGCAGGGCTGTACTCAGGTTCATCAAGATTTTGGAGGGATAATCCCTTCGCAATTTTCTAGAAAAGGACAAAAGAAATATACGAGAGAACTAATATTGTAAATAAATCTTTGAGGCACAGGCAGTAAATTCCTACCTTATACAGCTCTGCAATAGGTTAGATAGCACCATCTGTATGACACGGTGAAACTAGGAGGAGGACGAAAGATATCTGGGAGTATTTAGCAAATTATAAAGTTTTTGGGTTTTTGTTTTCTGGTAAGGAAGATTGGCCCTGAGCTAATACCTGTTGCTAATCTTCCTCTTCTTGCTTGAGGAAGGATGGTCCTGAGCCAACATCTGTGACAATCTTCCTCTATTTTGTATGTGGGACAACCTCCATAGCACGGCTTGAGTGGTGTAGTTCTGTGCCCAGGATCCAAACCCATGAACCCAGGCCGCTGAAGCGGAGTGTGCGAACTTAACCACTATGCCACCAGGCCAGCCCCAAGAGTTTTTTTAAATAATAATTTTATTTCAAAATTGTTTCCAAAATTTCCAATTGGTTTCAACAAATTGATTATTTTTCAATCCAGGAAAAATTCTGGAGTTTTATGATATTTTTGTTAAAAAACAATTTTCTAAAATTTTTTGCAGTTTCTTGATTTTTAACGAGGTAGGGATCCTTTTTAAAAAAATTTCCTGTTTCAGGATTAATTTAATAAGATTTGTGAAGCAAATGTTTTCATCTTTTACAATGTAAAAAAAGCATTTCCTACCATTTTTATTTACTTAGATGGCAATTATCTCTAACAGGTTTCAATGCATTTTATCAAGAGAAATACAGTAATTATAAATTAAGATTCTATAGCTGGAAAATTCACGTTGCATCATATATCTTACGAGAAACCTGAACATTAAAACTGAACCACCCTACATGATGCACAAAGTGCATAAATATTTTTAAAAGCTGAGGCAATTCTCTTATTCACATTATGGAACAGTTAGCACTGGGTTTGGCAGATAGAAAAATACTTACTCAAAAGCAACATATGTCAGGAGAGTTGTTGCTGAAAAAATAGCAGATATTCCACACCCAATATAGGTGATGAAGGTGAGAACTTTAGTGTTTCTTCCATCTATCTGGGAGGCGGTTCCTTGAAGATCCTACACAAAACATGGAAGCAGCCGTAAGAATCTCTCTTTTTGTGAGCATGCTGTTTCATTTTATTGGACAGTTCATTGCTAGCACTTAGAATCTCAGCTCAGTCTTAGGGGCTAAAAGCAACAGTGTAAATCAATATTGAAATTCCCATTTATCGTACTCTCGTGGATCACTCCATGAAACAAAAATGTGGTGCTATCGAGAAAGTTGCACGTTGCTTTTTATCGTTACTTTGTTATCCAAGCTCTTTGCATACCAGTATAAACCGAAGAGCAAAACCACTGGGTCCCCTAACAGAAACTGGAGAGGAGGTCACGGCCTTGCATAATAAATTACCAGGCCACTCCTAACATTTGCAGGGCTGGGGGCACAAGCACAAGTAGAGGCCACCATGGCCCACATAGCCAGGTCCTCGGGTGGCCCTGCGTTCCTTGTGCAGTAGGGGAGACAGCCAGAGGGCACCATGGCTGTCCGGCTCTGAGCGTGGTGCTGAGGCTCCTAACTGGTCATTTGCAAGCTTAGTATGTATCGGGTGGAGTCTTTATTTTTTCCCACAAATGAGAATCCACTAAGAGTTTTGGGGTCATAATTTTTGGACCCCTAGAGACTTGACAGGGCACCATTTAAAATGTGAGGGGTTATTGTGGGCTGGAAAGAAGCAAACACTTTCTAGCGTATTAATATGAAGTATTAATTTCACTGTGCTGACAGACTTGCAAAGTCTGGGCCTGGTAGGAAAACCTTTCTTTTCTTCCTTAAATGGGGAATTTGGGATAGGGATAAATCTTGAATTAAGACCAACCACTCAATCCTAGTGGGAGGAGAAAGGCATCTCCATTATGCAGATGTTGGAAGGCATATATTCCAAAAGCAATCTGGCTTAAACTTTTAGGTCTTAAATTATAGAAAAAAACGCTTGTTGAGAAGTTTTTGTTCTGTTTTCATTAGTTTTCTTTCATTTTCACCAAAATGTCAACAAAATCTGCTCCTCACACGAAGGCCTCCAGTAAGTGGTGAGGTATGTGTGTACATGTGTGTGAAATGAAGAAATGGGACTCAATTCCAGGCTTGGCTCATGCAGTAAGGAATAGGTAACAGTACTTCTCTGACACCAAGAAACACACAGTGATCGAATTCCACAGACGCAAGGGCTCAGGGTTAGAGGGGACTTTCCTGATCTTCCTCTCCCAGGAAATACCTCAAAACACTGGGAGGACATCAGCCTCCCACGGCACTTGGGACGGAGTTCGAGTCAGGGCCGCTTGGCTCACAGACAGTTTACCTAAACCAACATTTTGATTACTCCAGGTTCTCATTAGGCCAGAGAAATGGCCTTGAGGAATCTCCAAGCGACTTGTCATTGCCTCTGAAACACCTATGGCTCCCATCTAGGTGAGGCAGTAGACTTGCACACCACAATTAAAGCCACAAAGAATATGAAAATATTTATTCCTCTGAACTAGCCAACATGAAAATGTACTAATGTGAAAAATACAAAAATAAGTTTTACTACAAAGAGATGTAGCAGAGGATATTAAATTCTTCCTTCATTTGTAGATTAGAAGACATAGTTATGGGTCTGGGGTACATTTGTTTAACTTCTCATACGGTGAATGTGGCACGGGGCAATGTGGGCTGTGGGACTATCTTACAGAAGGCAGTAAAGAGTTTGTAAATCAAGAAAGACTCCTAACAAAGTCTTGGTGGTCTGGAAAAGCTGAAAGGATATGGGCACATGGCCAGAAAGGATAAATTCTGGAATGTTTTTCTTCCAGCAGTTTATAATCCCACATAAGCAGCCAAGGTGGAAAATGGAAGGAGAGCACTAAAAAATGCACGTCTCCCTGTGCATGTAAAACTAACTGCTTTATCAGATGGCAACAGGAAAAGTAATAAGTAATTCAAACTCATAATAAAATTTCAACAATCTATGAAGAAACTGACAATTCACGGTAATGAGAAGCCAAACTTTGGTTGCATATAAATCATCTCTAAATAGTGAACTGTGTTACTATCTGTTTATCTAATATTAGATTTATAACACACACACAATTATGCGCAAACACACACACACAGCTGAAATATTTGAATGAATCAAGCCAAAGCTTATATACCTGAATGAGTAAACATGCAAAATAAGTGTTTTCTGAAATATTGCCTGCTGTCACTTTTGCAGCAAACAGAACATGGAAGAAAACTGAGGGGTTTTGTTTTTGTTTTTAAATACTTAGGAAAACATGCTATAGTTCAATTATTCCTTGTCACGGTCTGGTAGTTAAGACAAAATATTTATATTTTGAGAAAATTAAAAGGTTATTTTCTATGACTGTTGCCTTTTTAAATAACTCGACCTTATCCCCGAGAACACTTACGTGCTGACTGTCAGGAAAATTATAGCTTGCAAGGTTGTCCTAGCACAATGGCCATTTACATAGGCCAAGTAGATTCATGCGCCAAATACTACATCCCAGAGTTTCTCACTGCTTCCTCCCAGTCCCACAGGAAGTGGGTGTAAGATTTAAGGGAGGGGATAAACATAACCTCATGTCTGTGATTCAAATTCGAAGAGCTTTATTGCCTCAGCACACATTATTCCCATCTCTGATAGAAAACAAATGTGGCTTGACTCCTTTATGGAAACTATAGAAACAATGACTACGTTACAATCCGGAGGGTGTCATCCACCAGGAAAGTGTCTGCAAAAACACCAGTGGGTCAGACATAAGTAAAGGTATAAGTCTATGGATGAATTCAAGCAAGTCGCTGGAGACAGGGTGGCTCCTGGAACGTTGGTGGGACGAAAGACTGGATGCAATCTAATTTTTGGTTTAAAACTGTTGGACAGGCTGGCTAATGAGATAGAAACAGGGCCATGGGAAAACAGAAAGAAAGAAAAAATGATATGAAGGCCTAATAGTGAGAGAAACATCACCCCCATCCATCACCTCTCTTGCAGGCCTGTAGACTCCAAACCACCCCCAGTCTCCAGCCTGTCCTAACAGGCTGGCATCTCCAGGAGGGGACGGCAGTCATTTTGGGTCACAGCTAGATCACCTAGCACAGTAGCTGGTACTAAGTCACATTTAAACATATTGAGTGATAACATATTATAAGAAAGAAAATTTTTGATCAAATTTTCCATGGTTCCCTTTCATGTGAGGAAAATCCAACATTCTCTTCCTCTTTAACTTTTCTCTCTCCTTGCCTCCCTGACTTTTTGTTTCTCTCTTAATTCAAGGGTCTCCTGGTGATCTTCTTGTTTCTGGGATTATTTATCATCAATGTTAACGCTACAGGAAAAAAAAGTAAGGTTCTTTTCTATCGTTACTTTTGCATATTTTTAACACATGGTCTCTGCTAATAAGATTCTTCATTAAGAATCAAGATTCAGGGTACAGATGAAAATTATCAGGAAATAATTCCCCAAATACATAATCTAAAAAGGCTGGCTCACAAAAAGAAGTATGCCTTCCAGAATTATATCATTTCTAAAGGAGTTTAGAAATTCCTCGCCTACCATCAGAACTCCAAAGTGTGTGAGGTGGTTACACAGGCAGACCGTCTCACTTGCATCTGAATTTCTTTGTGCAACACATCCTGATGTGTTCCAAAATCCAGAACCTTCTGTAGGAGGAAGTCAACAAACAGTGTGAAAATAACAGCAGGTCAGTTCCTTCTCTGTAACGGATGATAACTTCTTTAGGGAAATATGCCTCAGGCTTTTCTGCCTTACAGTTTATCAGTAAAACCGATTCTGTTTTTAAAGCTGCCAATACTTAGATTCCTGGCATCATAGAATGTTAGGGCTGGGGGACAGCTAGAGATTATGCAGAGAGTGGTTTTCAACTGTGTTCCACTGAAGTGCTGCCTCTGTAAAAGTTTGATTCAAGTTTAATTTTTAATATATTTTAAAATCAACTTCCATAAAAAGAAAATCCTTTTTCAAATACGTTACATACTAATGAAGTCTCTGGAGATCAACACATTTTTTTCCTTGGGTCAGCCTATGTTTTTGTGAAGACATGAGGACAAAGATGACCAGCTTTCTTGGAACGTGCTATTATGTACACAGCAGCCCTGCACATATACTATGTATAAGTGGCCACTTATAAATGCCTTTAACACATCTTGTCTGACTTTTAGGGTACGACATGGCATATGAGCAACTCGTATTTTAAGACTTCAAGGTGGTATCATTTTTAACTATGTCTCCAGTAAATGAGGATCTTCTCAAAACTGGGCAACTAAAAACTAAGCAACAACAACAAATTTTCCAGCTATGATCAGAAGTATCAGAAAAGGGGGGTTTGAGACACTTCAGACTACATTTCTACCAAGAAGCAGCCTGCACAGCAGCTGCCCTGATTACTGGTTCCCCAATAATCCCACTGGGGAACCCCGAGGGAAAGAGCCCCGTAGGGGGCAGAGGTGGGAGGGTTCATCACATGTCCTTCCCTTCAGAGATCTTCACACCTTCCAGCTCCTGATTTATCCCTTAATTTTGCCTTTCTCTCTTGATGATCAAACGTCATTTTGGAGGCAGAACTTCCTTTCAGGTAATATATATCCATTATAACCATTCCTATCTTTACAGTCCCTTAGCACACTTTCACCCATAATCTGAGGTCTGGAAGCTGGATTTTAAATTTTTATGTCTCACGCATGTCAAATAATCTGTTCAGAAGTGCCCTAGAAGAATGAGAGCAAGTGTATATCGACATTCACCCAAAAGTGGCAATAAAAAGGCATATTGTGTTTTATAAATAACTGAAATCAAAGAGTTGTTTGGTTAAGAAAAGTCAAGTCTGCCTACTTCTTCTTGAAATGAATAAAAAGTTACAGAAATTAAAATCCACTTTCCAAGCCACCTAAACTAAATTTTGCAGCTCAGTTGCCATCACACTTACACTGTGACTCACTCTGGTTCGGGCTGGAATTAAAGGAAATGGGGGTGTCTAACAATGTTTAAAATTCAGTTGTTATTAAGGCGGCCAATATTTTAAAACTTACCGTTATTGTTCAGATCCCAGAAGGCACAGATGGGATGAGGCACGGCCTATATTAACATAAGAATAAACATGTGAAATTGTGTTTAAAATAAATGAAAAATCATACGATTTGAATATGAGGAAAGAGTAAAAATGTTAAGGGTTTCACAAAGATCAGCATTAGTCATGCCAATATGACCTAAGAATGGCAGGCAGTTTATGGGGATCTCTCACAAAGACTTTAAGTGGAAATCCACTATGACCTGATGAGGATCATGGTATCCATTTCTCTGCATCATGTGCAATTCTCAGCATTCAGCAAAGCTCTTTACACTATAATTTCACTTCATCTTCAAAATTCTCCTGTATGCCTAGGTATATGCCCAAAAGAATTGAAAGCAGGGACTCAGATATTGCACCCCATGTTCAAAGCAGCATTATTCACAGTACCCAAAGTATGGAAGCAAACCAGAGTCCATCAATGGACGGATGGATAAACAAAATGTGGTGTGTGTATGCGTGTGTGTGTATATATGCACACACACACACATACATACATACACAGTGGAATATTATCCAGACTTAAAAAGCAAGGAGATTCTGACACATGTTATAATATGGATCAACCTTGAAAATATTATGGTAAGTGAAATAAGCCAGTCATAAAAGGACAAATACCACATGGTTCCACTTAGATTGGGTACCTAGAGTAGTTATAGAGATAAAGTCATAGAGACAGTAGTCATAGAAATAAAGAGGAGAATGGTAGTTGCCAGGGGCTGGGGGAGGGCGAACGGGGAACCGTTGTGTAATGGGGACACAGTTTCAGGTGGGATAGTTTTGGAGACAGATGGCGGTGATGGCTACAGAACAATGTGAATGTACTTAATGCCACAGAACTGTACACTTAGAAATGGTTAAAACAGTAAATTTTATGTTATGTATATTTGACCATAATAAAAAGAATTCTTTATGGATGAAGGCGCTGAAACCCAGGAGGGCAAAGGGTAGAAGAAGGAGGTTTCAGAGGGCTCTGTGACTAAGCAGGGCTGGTCCTTAGATGACTTACTCTCCAAGCCCTCGCCCTTATCAGCCAGCTCACCTCCTGTCTCCTTCCTGCCTGCCTCCTAGATGGTAGAATCAGGACTGAGACTCTCCATCAAAAAGGGAACAACCTGTGCCTGGGCCGTCTGGGACAGTAAGAACCCCCATATAATTTTATCAAATAAACCGATATCAGCGAGGGTAATGAAGCAATAAAAAAAAGCAACATTTGCCAAGATTTTAGACACCCGCTAACCTCTCAAAAAACATCACCACTTCCCTGTTTCCCCTCAGCTTTCTCAGCTGCTGTAATCGTTGACTTACAAAAAACAACCAAAATCCTTAATGGCAGGACTGTGCAACCACCTGCATCACATTTATCTGAAGTAATATATGTCGTGTCTTAAAGATGGTGGCCCTTACTTCACTCCCATTCTCCCTCCAATTACTGAATTTTAGACACGACTACCCTCCCCCCCACATTAAGACCACCTGACTAGCTGTTTCCTTGTAGGAAAACTGTCCCCTTCAAAACAAGTGCCAGTTATTTCTTATCATGTAGACAACGCGGCCCCATGATTCTCTGAAATTGTCTGTCTCCGTTCCATTGCTATTTGCAGCATTTTCTTACCTGGTTTCTTGCATGTTTGATTTTAATTCGAACAGGATCCTTCAGATCCTGGATAGTGATGTTTCCAATACTGCATGCCATCACATAACTCACCAAGGTGCCTTTCTTGGTTTCTACATCCTTTGAAAGAAAAAAAAAAATTGTTATTAGTCAGAAGTACACATATTAATTTTCTTTTGCTGCTCCAAAATAAGCAAACTGTCAGCACTTTTTAGACTTAGGATCTTCAGTTATAAAACATCCTGTTTATGAGATCGAATGGCTGGCTTTCCTGAAAGAGCTTTGCTATTTCCCTTATTTATAATAAATACATCGAGGGAACATTACGAGCCAATGTTGTAAGGCGATGTTCATAAAACTTCATTCTTGATTGCCGTGACTGATGCCAGCAAGTCCACATCTGAAACAATGCTAACCCATAAATAATGTAAACTCGTAAAAAGCTGTGTAACAATTCGATCATTTCCCTACCCTCGAAAAGAGATGAAGTTGTCTGCCTTTAGAGAATTATGAAGGAAATGTGGTGTGAAAAATAAAAAACAATCCATCTTTCACATCCATGCCCACACCCTGACGTGTTTACTAACTTATACCTAAATGTAATTCTACTGCATTAACGTCCCATCCAGAGTTTCTATCTTCTTTGATTGTATACTTGCCACCGTCTGTAGCTTCCACTTCAGAGATAAGGTTGTCAGGAAATCCAATTAGTGAATCTGTGCGACAACACGACTGGGGCCAACAGACTCTCTCTCCTGCAAGATCATCTCTACTTTCTTCTTCCTCTTGTGTTTTTCTTGTCAAATCTTTCTCTATCTCAGCTTACAAGTCAGTTGTTTTGGAATAACTGCAGAGTTTCTTAAATGCCAAATAAAACTCAGCATCCAAAATACAACTTTTTATTACTCTTGTGTGGTCACTCTCAATAATGTCAGCTATAGCTTGGTGATACCCAGCCTTTTCTTAAAAAATTACTCATATCTTGTTCACTCTGTTAAGGGAGGACCATAGAACCCTTAAAATGTTTTCACTCTGCTATAAATTTACTTTAAAAAAAAAGTTTCCTAATAATAACATTGGTTGGGAGATGCCAAAGGCAAAGGAAAAGATGATGTGGAGAAGACTCAAAATGAAATAATGACACATTCTTGGACCTCTAAGAGCTGTCCCAGACCCTTTCCACTGGGCTCAACCTCTCCTCTGAATGGACTCCCCCACCACCATTCACATTTTGTGACTCTTACCACATTTTTCTATTGTTTTTAAAGGTGACATTGCTGTCAGTCTGAAAGAATTTTAACAAATGCAGTTTTATATGTTCATAGCTATTAAATCCCTCAGAGTAATTACACGTAATTACCCTCTTAATTGACTCCAAATTTTTAGATAGCTTGTTCGTAAAACATTTGCCAATAAAATTGTAAAATTCTGGAGTTACTGTAAATGATTCCATGGTGTTCTTTTTACTTACCTGTAGCCTACTCTGCCATTCCCCCACACATGATGGACAGGGCAGACGGATGAGAAACAGTTCTACTGGTCTTGAGACCTCCTATTTTCTCTCACAGGTCGCCTTATCTGACACACAATGGTATCTTCAATTTAATAGATAACTCTTATTTTTAAAAAGGTCTCAGTGAAACTGCTCTAGATTGGGTCGTACTTTCAAAGGCAACCAGAGGTCACCAGTGTTTGCTAGCAGTGGACTTTCTAGTATCTAGAAATGATGCCAATAAAAATGATCATATGTGCTGAGCACAATGTCACCCTACTCCAGGGACATGGAAGGCCAAGGGCCATTTGAAATGCTAATGGGAAAATTGATTAAAGCCAAGAATGCTGCTCATTATGTAAACAGTGTTTCCTGCTGAAAAAAAAATAAAGCATCTTTTCTTTGGCACACAATTCCTTTAACTCTGAAGGCCTAAATTGCTGGAGACATAAAATATTTAACAAAAGGAATAATAAATAATAACGTCTTCTCAAATTCCATTTCTAGTCATGTCATGCAAGTTAACCTAATATTTGATTCATTTTAAAAACTTAAACGTTCCCTGCCAGTAAGCAGGTTATCTGAAAAAATATTTCAAATATAATATTTAAACAATTATGTTAAAATTTTTCATTTTTAAATACAGTAGGTTAATTTTTCTGTATCTCTTGATATATTTTCAAGGAATCTGAACTTTTATTTTTCCCTTTGAGCAAAGAAACTCAATTTGCAATGGAAAAATAACAATTTCATGAACACTTACCTGGAAAAGTCCAGTTTTATTGAAGAAAGTAAATTGTGCTCTTTTAACTAACACAGAATCTTCTTGACTTAAATGCTCAAGTAAGTTTGGAGGCAAAATTACAGAAGCCAATGGATCCATTTGTTCACTCTCAAAATCCATCTGTCACACACAGAGATATATTTATTGGTCGAGTAATCACAATTACATCTCAATAATAACTTTACTCCGTATGCTGAGTAAGGCAGAAGAACACCACAAGTGTCAACTTAGCTGGGACCGGGGCTTCCCTTTACCTCTAATGCAGTCACTGCCCTCCTGGGTGAGTCCCCAACAAAGGCTTGGACCTCATTCAAGTTTAGTTTTGCATGTGTGGCAAAAGAGGAAAAGCACTGATTTTAACTAAAGCAAATTGAGAAATCTACAAACCAGTTAAAATGTTCAAGTATAAGAATTAGATTTACCCTTAACAGATTTTGAGGTTTTCTCAGAACACTTAGTGAAAAATAACTATAACAACAATAAAAAGGTTGGAGTTAATTTGTCTCACTGCTGAAAATGAATATCTCTGCACAGAGGAAACAGCTGAAGTTTTATGAACGCTCTTGGCTATCATTTTTCCTGAACCCACAGATCAGGCCAAAGAGCATTTTCCTGCAAATGGACTTGGAATGAGACCGAGGCTGCCCGAGTTTTCACCCTTAAAATGCGAAGCAGAATTATCCAAAAGAGCCCCTAGTCTAAAGCAGAAAAAATTCTTCCATATACAGCTTTTTAAATATTTTATCTTGGTTTATCTCCACAGTTAAGAAGTATTACCGCAGGTGTGTTCTCCTGTGTCAAAAACAATGTTTCAATCATTTCATTTGCCCACACGGCTAACACCGCCTAACACACAGTAGGAACTTGAAAACTATTTGCTGAGGTGTCACATGAACAGGCCAGAGAGGCTCTCCATTAATCTGGCCCCAGATTTCTTGCCCAGCCTCGTCATCCTTGCCGTTCCCAGTCTTCTACGTCACTGGTTCTCAAAGCATGGTCCTCAGACCAGCAGTATCAGCAATACCTGGGAACCTGTTAAAAATGCAAATTTTGAGGCTCTACCCAGGACCTACTAAATTAGAATCTCTGGTGATGGGACACAGTAATGTGTTTTGACAGCTCCTCCAGGTGAGTGTGATGCACAGTTTGAGAACCACTGGCAAAGAGTATACACCATGCTTCTTCCCACTCTGGCCCATAATAAAGCTCCTTCTTCTTACCAAACTGATCCCCACCCCTACTCTCAAAAGGGCGGCCCCTACTCATGCCTGAATACTTAGTTCCACTATCGCCTCTTGTGGAAGGTAAGTTGAGCCACCCATCACCCAGGTTCTGAAAGTGCACCTCCTCTACGCAGCCACATGCCTTCCGGTTACTGCTACTGCAGCCTTAGCCGACGTTCAGACCCGCCTGCCACCCCTCAGACCAAGACCTCCTTGAAGCAGCAACTGGTAAGCGATCAGAAAGTTTTTATTTGTCTAGTTAATTACAGTTGAAGAAACCACTGGCTCATTACCTGGAAATACGATTCATTATTGCTTGGAAGCCCGATGCTAAAATTAGAAATTTCATTGGTGTCTGGGGACAAGGATGATACTCCAAGAGCCAGATTCCGGGTTGTGATGTTCACATGGGAAGTGCTATTTAGGTCTATCTTGAAGGCCAATTCGTCAATTGTTTTTAAAGCTCTAAAGAAATGACAAGTAACACCACTGTTAAGTAACACGCTTTAGGCACTGTAGATATCTAATTGGCTGCAGGGCAAAATACAAACCAAATAAAATTGTCTTTAAATTTTCTGATCTTAACATGAAGACCCACAAAATTACTCCAAACTACAAAAATATCAGTTAAAACATAGAATCACAGCGATGAATACACCCTCAAGAGAAATATATGTTTTCCTTAAAAGGAAAATTAACAATTAAACATCCTAAACAAATACTCTATTTTTCACCTATCTTAGCCTTTTCTTTCTCATATGAAAAATAGCCTTCCTACTTCATAACTGAGTGAGAATCAAATAAAATAATGTGACAAAAGTATTTTATGCACTGCAAGACACTGTAAAAAAATTTTTATAATTATCATATAGTTAAGTTAGAGAACACATATTAACAAATATAAAGTTTTCCTTGAAGAAATTTGGTGGAAAGGAAGGAAACAGAAAGAAAAAATTAAATATCCAAATATTAACACATTAAATGAGATAACTGGATACAACCTCAATTGTGTGTAAATAGGTACACTTCACCCTGCCCCAGGCATTTCATTCCAGAAGTATAACAATCACACAGCTGTGACAGTACTGTGTCACGGTCAACAGGATAGTGACTTATAGAGAGCGAGCTACGCCTAAAAGATGTGACTTAAACGTCTGCTAAGTGTTTCCTTTGCAGGCAAAAAGAAGTGTCATAAATTAATATATATAATAGCTTATCTTTTGAATTAACCCCAGTTAACATTTTTAGATGAAAAAATGAAATACTGATTATGTTTTTCTGGGACTATTTATATATCTAGTCAGATGGACAATCTTAATCAATTTGTAAATTCTATTTCTCAAAAAAATAGAGAACTTTGAAGTTCACTTTGTGAATGATCTTGGGAAATATCAATGGATCTTCTAGAGATTTAAATTATGAAAGCTGGGCACCAAGCATTCAGATATGTGATAAATTATATAATAACACATGAATCCAATCAATTTTACTCTCTAGAAGAAAAAAAAAATACTTACTCCGAAGAAGACTCAAGCAAGTCACTATCTGAACTGGTTAAGATATTAGAAAATATATTCATTAAAGTTGAGCCAAGTGTTATATCAATGTTTTCTTCTTTATTCACAATCCTCTTGACCTGTTCCACAATGCTGGTAATATTGGCTGAGTTTAAGGTCTGCCCATCACCAGTTAAATTTAAAATCTGATTGGCAACTTCATTTGCTTCCCCTAAAAAAAGGCAGAAGAAACAACATACAAAGTTTTACCTATGTATTTTGAGCATTTCTAGGAATCTAAAACATAGTGTGATATTTCACTCCACGGTTGAAACAGCAAATTGGGTTTCCTGTGTGTACCCCCTTACCACAATCTTCACAGGGCAATAATATTTCTTTACCCACAGAGACTAACTTCTCTTTAGTAAGATATAAATTGTGCAACTAGGTAAATAACGTGGAGGGACCAATATTCACATATTGGTCCAAGAGAAATGCCCCCAGGACCGGCCCCGTGGCTTAGCAGTTAAGTGCGTGCGCTTCGCTACTGGCGGCCCGGGTTCGGGTCCCGGGCGCGCACGGACGCACAGCTTCTCCGGCCATGCTGAGGCCACATCCCACATACAGCAACTAGAAGGATGTGCAGCTATGACATACAACTATCTACTGGGGCTTTGGGGGAAAAATAAATAAATAAAATTATAAAAAAAAAAAAAAAGAAAAAAAAGAAATGCCCCCAGAATCACTGAATAAGCGTATATTTGCTGCTTAAAAATAATACAAAACTACAAAACACTGATACAAATATAAATTTATATATTATTTTTGTCTTCTCTGAAATCTTCTTACTCTTTTTAATTTCCTTCAGAATGAATAGAACAGAAAAATAGAATGAGGAAAACCAGTATTTTCTACCTTACATGAAACAATCATTTGCCTAGCTTTTACTATTACAATAGTATCTTACAGCAGAAGGATATGTCTGAAAAGGAGGAAAACCATTAAGCACAAGGTCATTTCATTTTGTCTTTGAGAACTGAAGAAAAACTGCTCACTTACTTGAACAATTGGAGAGATCAGGAGGCCCCCAGTAGGCTGAAGATGTGTTGGCAGGGTCACGATGACTATGAAGCAAACAAAGATATTTCAAATATTTGGCATAAATGACATTACAACTGACAAAATCAGTTAATGATAAGTTTTAGAATTTGCCTTGTTATCTAGGTAAGTTTCATTTGACAATAAAACTGTAAGACATTGAAATAAAACTCCTATTAAAAAATTCTTATCAGAAAAAAATCAGGTGCGTGCATCACAGAAACCAAATACTAGCAAGAGCCTGTATCCTAACTAGGATACATCAGGTTACTAAGGTTAAAAGTGTATTTGGTAACATGGGTCAAGTACTGCTCTAAGAACTTTCTAGATAAAATCTGATTTTGATTTCACATAACTCTGTAAAGCAGATTATAATCCACATTTTATAGATAAAGACATAGAGTTAGATAAGTCAAGGAATTTCCCAAGGTCTCGCAGCCAGGAAGAGATAGAGCCACATTTCAACTTAAGTCAGTAAGTCTCTAAAATCCCCTTCTTTCCTCCCTACCATGTACCAAACACAGCGGGAGATACAAAACTTCTACTTGGGCAGTTCCCGTTTCTGAATTCCCTGCAAGAAAACTAATTGGGGGTGGGGCGGAGGGTGCAGAACCGGATTTGACTTGCTATTCCGTGAATCCTCTGCAATCGACCTGTCTCTGAGGCTTCTGAGGTCAAAGCATTTAGGGAAAATCTATGCTCTGATAGCCTCCGACTGCCTTAACCTGGATCCTGTCTTGACTCTCTCTTTCCACCTCTTCCCCCTCCAACAATAAGCACTCCACATCATTCAGAAGTCTTAGAATTTCAGAAGCCTGTTCCAAGGCTGTGACCTGGCTCCATTCACCCAATTACAAGGCACTTTGATTGCTCGAGAGCTGCACTCTGGTTTCCAAATTTCTCCATCTCTCTTTGGAGAAGGCTAAATGAGCATGTTGCTTAGAGTAAAAAGGCTTCCCTTGACAACCTACCTGCCTCTTCTTTACCCGCCCCGGAGTGTATGATTTAGGCACACACAGAGATTCCTGCCCTTCTTTCCAATCCATATACAACACACGGGAACTACTCTGCAACAGGTGTAACCCTGGGAAGGTGCATAATGCAGAGCTTTGCTGGCAAGAGTCAATGAAAGCGTTACCATATCCGTGAGGCATAAAAGCCCTGCTTCCCTAGACAGGGAAGCTTGTGTTCCGAAGGGTAGATGGCCGACCACTGATAGCCTTTGGGGTCCTCATCGGCAGGACATACACCTATGTGAAAATGAGAACCAACATGAGAAATATATATCTATTTTTTGGAAATGAGAGGTGCAAGATGAGAGCAAAATGACAATGCTGATAATTCGGTATTTATTTCATGTACTACTAAAATACTAGTTATTTATGTTCAGAATTTGTAAAAATTTAGAAATTTTGAAAAATAAATATCTGATACACTTCAGGTGCAAAAATCATTACATCTTACAAAACCATCAAATAAAAACACACACATGCGAGTATAAACATGAAACACATTATCATTCTAATGTAAATCATAGCAGATAAAATTAGTAAAAGAAAGGTTTATTCAAAATATAAACATTATATAAAAGGAAAACAGTCCTGAAAAATTCAAAATGTAATTTGATCTTTTTTCAAAGGGGAAAGCCAATAAAATGATGCATCAATAGTGTCGTCATTGAGTTGTGAGCATGTTTTATGGAAAATTTTCCAGCTGCTCTGAAAGCATCTCTTGCCTGGAAGTTTGCTGGGAGAAAGGCAGGAAGACACCTGTGGGCTAGCACCACACATCTCACACATACGCCTCCATCCTCAAATCATCCCACCTGTTGTTTCAACACTCTCTGGGCAAGTGTCATGACACACATGACTCAGATTGCACATTTGTTAAAATATCAAAAGAAAAGCAATATATCAACACTAACAACAAAATCTTGTATTTCAGTACTGAAAAATAGCAAGTTATACCAGACTACTTGGAACCAGTATTGTAGACACCAATTGAACATTTAAATAACTTTCCTATTGACATTCTGAGCCTTAAAATGGTCAGGGTTTGGCCTTTTTTTTTTTTTTTTTTCAATTGATAGAAACTTTTCTTTACAGATCCACTTGTGGAAAAATAGTAAAGCATAGAATTTAAATTAAGTGGTACAAATTACATGTCAAGTATGCAGAGAGAGCTGTTCTGGGATTCCTCAGCCTCTGAGCACAGAGCGGGGCTGGTCCTCACAGGGCTCTTTAGTGTATAAACTACCACTCATCATGTTACTTCTTCGTTGAGACTCCTAACTACGAGAGGGTAGCATCTGTACTCTCCCATCCCCAAGAAGTCCTCTTTGTAATAAGCAAGCACTTTCCCACAGAGGCTCAGAAACTGTTGATGATGATAAGGATTTGCATTCTTCCACCTCTCTGAGGTCTCTATAATGGTGTCTGGTGACACATCAGAGATGGGTGGTTCCTTATAGAAGCAAAGATGCCTGCTTCTTGATTACAGCGTGATTCTGGCCTCAGCTGAAATCACCCTCTCAGAGGCTGAGGAATACCCGCTCCCCCACTTCAACCTCCTGCATGTTGTATAAGGAAAGGAGTCAAAGTTCTCTTTTCTTTTGATCTCTACCAACGTACCTAGTCACAATATAATTGTAATCGTATAATAACTTTAGAACAATAACTTTACTTTTTGTTGTCCATATTTTTGATCATTTACTTTTCTAAAATATTCCCATCAAGCCTTGTTCATCTATTTATTGAAGTATTTAAGTGCTGGGGAATGCGCTGGGTGCTGGAGGAGGTGGGAGGTGAGGGTGTTAAAGAAAAATAAGATGAGTTCTCAAGCCAGAGGAAATCCTGTTTAAAGAAAATATATATAAGAATACAAATCAGTCCAGTCAAATACTATGGTCTTCTGATGTGTACGGTGCTCTAAGTATCTGGATAGCATGAAGTGGACGCTCAAAGGCAGTGATGTGTATTTATACATGATGCTATCAGGAAAGGCTTCATAAAAGAGGTGACTTTGGGCTGTCCTTAAAACTATGCAGGTGATAAAGAGGTGGATGGCAAGAGTAGAGAAGAGCAGTGTGGGCAAAGACATAGAAAGGAGCATGTATGTTTGAGGAAGTGCTAACAGGACCACCTGTGGTTGGAGCTTAGGATGTGAATGGAGTCTAGATGAGAAATGAATCTAGGTCCTAAATGACTCCCAGATTTCTGGCCTACTCCTGCAAAGTCAGTGGTTTCATTAATGAAGACAGAGAACAGAAGAGAAGGGAATAATATTTTATAATAAGAAATTGCCTTTTGTAAGATTTACCTCATTAGAGTTCCCATATGCACATATACACCCTCTTTCTATCCTGAAACTTGAAGTCAGTTCTGGTTAAGATTTCCTGGCATTTTGCTCATATTCTTAGTATTTTCATAATATGTCCCTAAAATAGAGTATAAACTCTCATCTGCCTTTTTCATTCCCTTAGATTCATAGGTATTGAGTCAATATCTTTTATGCTAATCATGTCACCCATTTGTTACAATGTCACCAATGTGATGAATTTCATCCTCAGAAAAAAATAGCTTTAAATAAGCAAACAACATACATAGGAAGAATATTGCTGCTGTTGTTGTTTCCATTAAACTTGAATATACAGTCATATAAAATACATATTCTAAAAAAATTCAAGATACTTACCCAGCTGCCTTACACTCACTGTATACAGCCGCAAGCCCTCATCCAGTGACTCATTGTTTTTCAAGAGCTTCTCCTGAATATCTTTTCCTTCTAAAGTGGGATTGTTGGTTGCATTGTAAATTAGAAGGGCCCAAATCACCAACCTAGGAAAACATTTCAAATAGAATTGTTGTTGGGGTTGTTGACTGGTTGGTTGTTTTCTTGGTGGAAAAATAGAACATCTGGATATGGTGTTAAGATAGATGACCATAAAGTGTTGAGACTGAAGAAATGGGCCATGGCACCCATAGACATCTACTGCTGCATAAATTATGTTAAAAATATTTCAATATGAGTAGATTTTATAGGATATTCCATGTATAATTCTATCACATCATATCACATCACCTCATTTCTTTTGAGAAATATTTTAAGTAACATTTTATAGCATGAATGCAAGAAAGGGCCATACTTGTGGTTAATTCTACATTGTTTCTTCATAGCCAAACAGAGTTTGTTAGAAAAATTAATACTCAACTAATCTGACTAAACTGATCATTTGACTTTTGAAATTATTAAGAGTGTTATTGTTTACAAATATGTTACCATTTCTCCAGAATTGTGATAAATACTTTTCCATCGCCATGAAACATTTGCAAGTACTTTGTAGAATGAAAAGTTACAAAATAAGTGCTCAAAATATACTCAGTGATTGGCCAGCATATTGCCAAAGAGGTTTATAGACTGTCTGACTTGGAATGTCTTTAAAAAGATAATATCTCTTTAGGAAGCACAGATGTATCCTAAAGGCACCACCAAACTTTTGGCTCTACAATTTGAATATAATTTTCAGTTCAACTGTAATCACAGCTATAGTCAATAGAAGAAATCAAAGCTATCACTTCAACTTTGAAGTAAAATTAAAGGACATTATTTTGTCAGGTAGAGGAAAAAATTTTTCCCTTATATGTGAAAGCTCTGGGTTTGCAACAAAAACTTGCACCTTCATATTCTGAGGAGAAACAAATATGACATAAAGCATTATATTATCCATATCAGTTACACAGGCCAAAATCACAGCAGCAGCACTGTTTTTGAAATGGCATATTTTATTTATGAAATTCTGTGGGTATCAATAAAAATGAAACAGAGGATTAATATATTTATGGTGTTAAAAAAAAAAGAGAAAGAAGAAGTGAAATATTTGCTATTCAACGTTAGGTGGAATTAAAGAATAGCTCTATTTTTTTCCATAAATATCTGTGCTAATCTCAAGGATAAAGTACTGTACTGTTCTCATAATTCACTCTGAAAAGCTATTTATCTCTAAAATGATCTACTGCTTAATGTTGATATATAAGCCATATTTCAGGATGAGACAAACATAGATGTGAATATAATGGTGAACTGTGATACTGTAATACTTTTTAAAACAACCTATGAAAAAGTATCCCTTTGATTAAACTATTGTTGGAAGATAGGCTTTGCCACTCCAGTTACTGAGAACTCACAGCTGGGAATGTGATCTTTTACTTCTCCTGAATATTGGGAACATAATTAGCACAATGTATTGTGGATGACCCTGAATACCCAAATTCAGCAATTCAAGAATGACCATGTACCTTGACAGGTCTTATGTGTGTTGTTTTCCTCTCTCATCCTGAAAACTGAAACTATTTTATGGTTCTACAAAGTCAGGTTCCCTCTGTTGTCACCATCAATCATTCTTTATTAGAATAAACCAGTCTCTGTGGCTTTGGCTTCCTGTCTGTCTAGGTGACAGAGTATGATAGCATTATCTGAAGCTATGGTCCGTGTTCAGTGTTACGACCAAATTAAAAGGAAAAGTTTGGAAAAAAGTATTTTACACACTCATAAAAGTAGCAGATTGCGGTTTTGAGTAAAACTATGAGAGACTATAAAGGTTGGTTTTTGAGCATAAAAGCAATAGAGAGTAGCAAAAAGTGAGGGGGAAAGACTATAAGAATAAATTTTCAAACAACACCAGGAGTTCATACCAAAGAAAAACTAAATGTGTGGATTTTCCCACACACACTGTCTTAGTTCATTCTTTCTGTAATTTTCTGTGAAGTTACCCATTAGTTTGACAGACAGGAAACTGAGATGCCATTGAATTTAAATGTCTTTCAAGCACGAGTTTCTGAGGTGCTGACATACACTAATGATGGCTGATTTTAGTACTGTCAGGTAGTAAAAGAATTCAGTAAATAAACTAACAAGGGCAATGCTGACTTTCCAAAAACATTCTACCATGGGTGATATCCCAAACTAGAAGTGTCCCAATTGCTAGACAAAGTGTCCAGCAAAGGCATCCAGATTGCTGGTGGATCCATTATTCAAAGCTCAATATAATCTAGCAGTAAGGGTTGGAGAAGAAATTATTTGGCTAAATAGAGGAGAAAAGTCCCATCCCCATCAAGAATACAGTATTAAAATACGTTACTCTATTCTTCAGATCACAAAGGAAAAGGAACAATGTCAGAAAATAGAAACAACTTCCCGTAATCGGATGGCTCAATCTAGTCCAGTGAATATAAACAGAAATGGTAAGTTTCAAACATAACTTTAAAAACATGTATTTTTCTAATGTTGAACACAAAAGGAATAAAAGTAAGAAGAAAACTCTCTGGTCAACTCTTACATGAAATTTTATTTGTATCTTCTCCTAGTAAGAATATATGACTTGAAAAGAAGTATATTCCATCATTATGTTTATAAATTCAAAATATCGGGGCCGGCCTGGTGGCGCAAGCAGTTAAGTGCGCTCGCTCCGCTACTGGCGGCCCGGGTTCGGATCCCGGGCGCGCACCGATGCACCGCTTCTTAGGCCATGCTGAGGCCGTGTCCCACATACAGCAACTAGAAGGATGTGCGACTATGGCATACAACTATCTACTGGGGCTTTGGGGGAAAAAAAGGAGGAGAATTGGCAATAGATGTTAGCTCAGAGTCAGTGTTCCTCAGCAAAAAAAGAGGAGGATTAGCACGGATGTTAGCTCAGGGCTGATCTTCCTCACAAAAATAAATAAATAAATAAAATAAAATGGAGACTTTAGAAAATTAGCTGATGGCTTTGAACGCTGAAAATATTTTGGCACCTATTACCCATATTACTAGATGCTATGGTACATAAGTACCTTACTTAAAATAAAGCTGTAAATATCTTTTTAAATGTTTTCTTTGAAGGTCTTTTTGAAATTTCAGATAAGAGGTAATGGGTTTTCATAAATTAGAAATACTGAAAACAATACCTCATCCATTTTAAATAGACCTGACTATAATGTTTCTCTCCTATCTCATTATTTTCATTTCTCTACCGGATAGTCAAAACAGAGAGCAAGACGGGCCCGCGAGGTGGCGCAGTGGTTAAGTTCGTGCACTCCACTTCAGCAGTGCGGGGTTCGCAAGTTTGGATCCCAGGCATGGACCTACGCACTGCTTATCAAGCCATGCTGCGGCAGGTGTCCCACATATAAAGTAGAGGAAGATGGGCATGGATGTTAGCCCAGGGCCAATCTTCCTTAGCAAAAAGGGGGGGATTGGCAACAGATGTTAGCTCAGGGTTAATCTTCCTCACCTAAAAAAAAAAAAACCAAACAAAAAACAGAGAGCAAGAGAAAGGATGTTATAGTTTCTATAAGACTTGGTCAGCGTTACCTTTGATCAAGCATAAGGCTTCTCTTGACTTTAACCTTGTCCTCTCCCGTGCTCAGGTGAAAACTATAAATACAAACACATATTCATTATCAACCTCATCTGCTGCATCACCAAGAATTAAATTTGAGGAGGTGAAAGAAAGGCAGAATGGACATTGTAAGCCAGTATTTCCAAACGTGTGTTCTGAGGAGCTCGCTCTTTCCTGTGCCTGAGACCAAATGGCTCCACAGTCAAGTGAGCCCTGCAGCTGTATGCCTTGCTCTCTCTTTAAGATTCACAATGCATGCTAGGACACTAAAGAGTCTGAGAGGGTCTGATGTATAGAAACCTGCCTCAGTTTCCTTAGTAATGTCCTTCCTAACTAATCTGACCATTTGATCCCTCTTTCTGTGTTAGGTTATTACATCCCTTGGGTTCACAGAATATATGTTAAGGGTTCATGAAATATGCTTTAGAAAATTTATTTAAGTATAAAACTGTGAAAACAAGGTGCAGAGGAGGATATGTAGAAGATACTAATTGCTAGGGATTTAGTGGAGTATTTAAATAGAAGAATAGTGAATGATAATTTTGAAAAGCTAGGTTGCCATCAGACTGTAGATGTCTTATCTTGTAGAAAAATGGTCTCCAAACTGGGGTGCATGCAGCCCAAGGGGTGCTCTAGATGATCCACTGGGGCATGTGAGAAACAACTTCTATTTAAATTTAATTATCCTCTTGTAGTTTATGATACATTATAACTTGTATTGGTTAAGTAATACACACACACACACATATGTATACAATTTATTAAAATAACAAATATATTTTGGGAGTACATGCTAAATTTTAAAAAAATTGGTATCCACGATCAAAAATTTTTAAAACCACTGCTGCAGAATTGAAGCTTTTTGTGCAAAGAAATGACACAATATAGAGTTGTTTCAGAAAGATTATGAATACGGTACATGTGTGTATGTGTGTACTTGTGTGTCTGTGTGTAGGTATAACTAGAGAGAGATAGTATTATATAATACTAATACAACAGCATTAAATTAGACACTACTTTTTACTTCCCAAATAATTCATTCTGTCATTTACCTGATATTAACCACATAAACAGTGTAGTTCCAATTTTGGAAGGTTGAATTGAGCTGAAAAATACAATGGAAAAGGGTGAGTCTTGGTAATATATTTTCTTAGAAATCTGAATCAAGTTTCTCTCCTCCCAAAAGATAAGCTGTTATCGGAATAAGACCCTGGGAAAATCCTGGAGATCCAGAGGAGTGAAAGAAAGGTCAAGATAACAGGTACTGAATCATTGTATGTCAAGAACTTTGCAAATGTTATTTCTTTCGATCTCACAACAACTAATGAGATAGGTATTATCTTCCCCCGCCGTCTTATATATGAAGAAAGTGAGCTTCACACAGATGAAATAACTTGTCCAAGGTCCCCCTACTACGAAGCAACAGATCCCAGATTAGAACCCAAGTCTGTCTGTCTGGGAACACTATACTTTCCTCTCTAGCTCATATTATAACGGGCTTCCAAATTAGCCAGAATGCTGAGAACTTAGCTGTAAGAGGATACACAGGGAAGATTAGCACAGTGAACACCTTCCATATTCTTCATTCAACAGATACCGAGGTGCAATAACATGTTTTTCTAGTAATTATCATCTCAAAAGAATATTAGTAGTAAGAAAAACTATAAATTAACAATATAAACTTTTAAAAAAACAAACAAGAATAAGTTCAACATTATTGAGAACTGTGGTTATTTAACAGTCTTTATGGGTCTCAGCACCAGACTTTTTAATGAAGCAATGAAGTCCTCTCAATATAAATAAAACCTTCCGTGATGCACCGTCCAATAAAATCACAAAACAGGATTTCTTTATTAACACGAAATTCTCTTATTTATATATCACCTCCAAAGGGTTTTTTTAGGTCTTGCTTCATACACATATTTAGCCTTCCTTGGAAGTATTTCTAAAATTGAATGTAAACTCTAGGAAATGCTGGCAAAAAGGGTTACAGTATTTTTAAGTTGTAAAAGTAATAATATGAATCAGGGACACCATTTACATTTTCTCTGTTATCAAGGATCTGCTTTGTTATCTTGCATCTTAAACTAAAAACGTCCAGTAAAGTTTAGCTTCAGATGAAAATGATGCTATGTTGAAAAAATGCATGAAATAAATATAAATGTAAAATTATACTTGTCTAAAGCGCAGATGCTTCAGTGAATGCTGATTTTCAAGATTCATAACATTAAAAGTGGTTTATTTAAGGATGAAAATAAAGAATTTTATCTTTTTAAAACATTCTGAGTTAAAAAAAAAAAAAAAAAAAGAGCAATGCTGGAAAGAAAAGGAGATGCAAGAGTATACTGCTTCTGTAAAGCCTGCTCTCCATTTAGAAGTTTAACACATCATCTCGTCTTTGAATTAGTTACTAACCTTAATGTGTCATTCCAAAAAGTCAACCATAGCATTTTTCTTTGACTTCTATTTCACTTCTCCCCTCAATTTTCTAACAGTTGTTAATTACATACTATTATTTCCTGTGGTTAACTTGTTTTAAAGGGTTTTGCCTTTAAAAATTAGACTGTTGTCCTATCATTCTTCAAATATATATATAAAATATTGTCACCACTACCTCTCAGTGTATGGTTTAACTGTCTTTTGCTACCAAGGACACATTTATTAGACACCTGTCGCAGAAGAAAACCCATTTTTCTTACTTCAGAATTTTTTCCCCAAGTGACTTTATTCACAAAAGCTGTTTGAACTGTAATGGTATTACATATAAAAAGCAGTACGAAGTTCCACAGTATGCTGTAGATAAGAAATAGAATAATACAAAAAATAGAAAGCTGTGGAAAATGAAATTTTTGAGATTGTTATCAAGAAGAAAATGAAAAATCCATAGGTTGTGTTGGTAAGGAAAAGAAGAAAACAAAACGCTCAAGTTTTTTTTTTAATTGGAAATTACCAAAATTTTCATCAATTGTATACTGGTTTACTGATAATCTAAATATCAACAGAAGACTTGTTAGATAAATGACTACACAGCCACATCATGGAATACTATGCACTGTTTAAACAACAAAAAATATATAAGGAAGGTCTCTGTGTACAAATTTGCAAATCTAGCAACAACAAAAATAAGTACTGTGTAGAAGGGTGTGTAAAATGTGACTTTTAGTATAAAAAGGAGAAAAAATAAGAATTTATAGTCTTATTTTCTTTTATAAGCACAAATTCTGGAAAAACCCGAGAAAAACTAACAGCGATTTCTAAGCAGATGGGTTGGTCTCCGGGCAGCTGAGCTACAAGGATGAATGGAAGATGTTCATGATACATCTTTTTATACTTTTCCGTTTTTGAATCAAATACTCAAACAATTAAATTAAAAAATATATTTTTAAAAACAGTGCTGAAAATGTAAGGATTAATAGTAAATAAAGATATCTACCCAAAACACATTTCCATTTCTGTGGCACTTTTCTTATTTAAATATTAATAGTCTCTTAGGCTCAGTTTCTTGTTCTTGTTTCAAATGCACCTCTCTTTCTACACATAAGGGCAACACCTCACTTATATCCAGTCATGCGTTGCTAACGATGGGGATACATTCTGAGAAATGTGTTGTTAGGCAATTTCGTCATCGTGTGAACAGCACAGGGTGTACTTACACAAACCTAGATGGTAGAGCCTATCACACACGAAGGCTATATGGTACTAATCTTATGGGACCGCCGTCATACATGTGGTCCATCGTTGGCTGAAATGGCCTTATGTGGAGCATGACTGTATCTATTTACATGTTCATAATGAACAGCATCTATGTTTCAGTATGATGTGTCAATTCAGTTACCGAGACACTAGAGTCTTTTCCAGATTTCCAGAAGTTAAAGGTTTAAAATAAAAAAGAAATCTTACAAGTCCACTTACCCATTCTGCCACCTTGCTCTGTACTTTTACCTCCGGGTGATGAAGTACATTTTGAATCACTATGGAAATTCTATAGACGATTCCATCTGTCCATTGGAAATAGGATTAGTCCATTAATTACATTTTACAGTCATATAATTATCAATTTAAATTTACAATCACATACTTTCATACACTTTAAAAGAAACACCTTCTATGCTGATACAGAAAATTTCTGCACTATTTTGACTTGAAGCTCATTGACCTTTGCAACTTCTTAGACAGTTATCAACTAGTTTACTCTTATAGATAACTCATTGCTCTTAAATTATTAGCTGCACGTTTCTTTGTATTTTGTAATTCTATATATTTCTGATATCTACTGTCCATAAAGTAGTGATTTTTTCATGTACAATTTGATTTCCTGTAACAAGAATTATCCTTTTTTGTACAGTATAAAGAATGATAAAGAGTTTGGGATGTGAAAACTTGAGTGAGATGATGGGAAGGAGTTAACGTGAAAATGAACAGGCAGACACAGATGTACTGCCCTCGGCCCCGTTCTCCCTTTCCTCTCTCCCTCCCCAATAAAGCATTTACTTTCACTAAGTTATTGGGTTGGATTTCACCAGATTTTTCATCAAAATTCCATAAATGTAGTCATTTGTACCAAAGTAGAGGGAAAAAAGAAAGAATATTTGCCGATAGAATTTTAATTGTACTAACTTGCTTTAAAAAGAAAACCTAATGTCAGAACAAGGTTCTGCTTTTTTCTTTTGGGGGCAATCTTTAAAGCAGTCTGACCGATATAATGAAAATCAAACTCACCATCACCAGCCAGGGTTTGTTAAATCTCTCTAGATGTGTGTCATAGGGCACCTTACTAAAAGTAGTTAATAGAGAAAAAGACCCTTTTAAAATATGGTAGGTTACAAAAAGGAAAAAAAATTTTTTGAATCTCCATTATTGTCAGTCATCGTTCTTCGTGCTTAGAGTTCGGTAAGTCTTAAGTAAAATATGCATAGAAAACGTAGAAACCTATAATTAAAACAATGATGCGGAATAGATTTAATGAAGATTTTGGGGAGGCAGTAGAAAAAAGTACCAAAGTATGCCTCTGGGAACTCCCAAATCTATCAAAATATGCCAACTCCAGACCCACTACTAAGGCAATGTTTTTCCAGTGTAGGGGTTAGAATCTCGTGCTAAAAAAAATCACCACTTCTGGGTATAATAATATAAATACATGAAATTGGTACCAGCCCAAGGACAGTGAGTTTAATTTATGCAAACGGGGTTATTTCAGCTTCTAAAACCCTTTAGGCATTTTAATGATCTTAATTTTACATTCCTTTAAAAAATATTCTGAATAAAAAATATTTAGAGGAATATATTTAAAACACATGATAATTCAGAAAAAAAAACTTTTTACACTGTAGATCTCATCATATCAAATCATGGACATTCTGAATGATGGGGAGGAAATGCCAATTATAGGGGTCCAAGGTTTTGCATTTATTTCAGGATCCCAGGGATATTCTGTGAATATTCACTGATGCCAGTGGAGTAACTGAGAAGCTACCACTAGATGGAGACCTAAAGCATGCGTTTGTTATACGAGTAGTCTTTCTTTCTCAGGAAAATAATGCAAAATACTAAAAATTAGTATTTTTAATCAGTGACATTTCTGAAATTTTATGGAAGCATCCATACATTTAAAATATTTTTCCGTACATTTTAAACATTTCCTGCCTCACTTTCTTCCATTCACTGTTGTTCATAAATGAGAAAGACATCCAATAACAGAGAGCCTAAATCAATTTATAAATATAGTATTCTCTAGATTTATATTGCGTATAGCAAATAAAATATGTGAATAAATCAAACAACCGAGCATCTCGTGTTACAGATTCTCTCGTGCTATGGGTCACTGTCAAGTAGTCCCTCTGCAGAAGCCGTAGAATGACGTATTAGCATATTAGCCAAAAAACACTCAGCGGGATCTACTTGTTATAGTTATTTAAAATTTTTGAATAACGCAGTCAACAAGTAATCATGAGAAATGTCCAAGAGTGAACTGTTGAAGCAAAATAAAACATTCACTGAAGGGTTGGTGAGAAGGGTTTTGGATTGCAGCAAAATATTTGGCTTCAGCATTGCCACTGCAGAACATGCACGAGGAAGACACGCTGATGCAGGCTCTTCCATGTCAACCTAGCAGTCAAGTCCTCTCTCCTTTAGAGGTAACAACTCTCATACTGTCTCAACAGAAAAGCTATGCACAAATCTTCATACGTTCCAGAAACTTCAAAAGATGCATTATTGTCCTAATAATGGCATCCAGGCCAAAAGAATGCAGGATAGACATTACTTGGAAAAAAAAAGTATTTAAAAATACATCCTTTTTCCAATGAGATAATTCTTTTAGCCATGCAGAACTTCAAAGCAGAAATTATTGCTTGCCATTACAGACGTAGTATCAAAACAATATCTGTAGGTTTTTCTCCAATTAATCTTTCCTTTTTCATCTTCTTAACACTCTTTTCAGAGTTTCTTGCAAGAAATGACACTACTTTATCTACTCTATATTCAAGGGTTTAAATATAGCTTTGAAAAGGTAGATTTTGAAAGATATACTTGAAAGGATAGATGTTAAAATATAAACCAAATGTTATTTTAGATTCAAGATTATTTCTTTGAACTGGTGATGAGGCAATTATAATATGACAGTGGCATTTATAATATGACCGAAGTCCTGCTCATCTTACACACACAATTTCTTTAAGATACCTGGCATATAAGAATAGATTGATTGTTAGATCCATACAAATATCCTGAGAGTGAATTTTTTATTTGAGTAGCTAAATGTATGTGAGCAACTAGAAGCAGTTGTTAACAATTTGTCCTTGTAAGCTAGGTTTTCAGAACAATACTAAGGACTAACAGTTGGTTTCCTCCTTGGGTTGCCTGTGCTGACCTCACAAAAGTTTAATATTCAGTAGCACTAGAGTGATATTTCAAGCATGGAAGATATGATTTGGAATGGAAATAATAATGAGTCCAAGAGCTTTTCTTGGGAATGTAATGGAAGAGGCACAAAGGTTAGCTGTGGGAATACCTAGATCACTCATTATATCCTGAAATATCTGTTTGTGAAAAGTAGCTTAAAAGATAAGATTTTCTTAGCATCTAATCTGAGGTATCAGACAAAAGTCCTATTGAAAATAACAAAAATCACTTTACCCACAGAAGTAGGAACATTTTACAAAAGCCATGAAAACAAACTTTATTGATATATTGATGAAATATGTCTGATTGTCAATCTTAATCCCTCTTCTCTCACCACACCAGCATATCATGACTGATGAATTCAATACAACTCTTTGCCAGCCCAGAGTTTAAAGGACGGGATAAGGTAGATAACAGATTTGACCGTTGTGCCTATCTTTCTTACAGTGAACAAAATGGAATTCTCTAATATATCAGATCAGAAGGCTGAGAATGTTTACTATATCAGTTTCCCAAGGAAGAAGCAAAGTGTATCTGAAATTGTTGACAGTATGTGAATGATCTTAAATATTCAGGATATGACATTAAATCCCATTCATTCACAAGGTAAACAAGGAATTCTCTCTCCCATTATTTTAAGTTTGACCACACCATAGAAAAAAATCTTAATTAGACTATAGCCTGTCTCTAACACTTTGTTACTCTCCCTTTTTAAAAAGATAATGAAGGCTTTGGGTGCTGGGACGTGAGAAAGCAATAGGATATAGGGAGAATTCAATAACATTGTTTTCATTATATTTATTTTCACTTTTCACTTCTATTTTAAAACAAATAGTACTGGTTTCATTTTACAAGAGCGATATCAATTTTCTCCTATAAAATACAAACATGTAAGTAAAAAAGTGTCACTTTAAGAAAAAACTATTAAATAAATAGAATAGGTGGCTTAAGGATGTGGTAAAAATTGTTCAGATGGTACACAAATCTGAATACACAATTTTGAGAATATTTCTACTGCATGACGACTTTTGAATATTTTTAAATGCTAGGATTACATTTTTAAAAAGAATCATCTGAATTAGATTTTTTTTTTTCTTTAATGTGGTCAAGTCAAACCATGTTAACTGGTTCTAACATTTGCTTGCTTTGTTGAAACTCCAATGAAGGTTATGACGCAGAGAGAGAGGGGCTAAACAAGGCTTTCTTCAAGAATGTCAGAAACGACATGATTGAGTGAATACAGTTCCACTCCACCAAGGCAAGGACTCTGAAGCATGATATAAACGTTCTTGGGCTGTAGAGGATGTGCCAGTCCTGGAGGGAGAAGACCACAGAGGCTCTTTGTATGAACATACAAAGAGCGAAATACTTAGTTAGAATTATAATATTCCCATCTACTGGCTGCAGTCCATGTGAAATATGCACTGGAAACTTCAGCTGCTGTTGCTTTCTTGGGGGTTGCTGGAATTTTTGCTCCATCATAAATCTCCTTGGTGTAACTAGCAGAATAACCATAAACACTTCCCTGAATTGATGTCTTTATAACTCTAATGAAATTTATACCTACATTTCATGTAAAATATTCCATACTTCCAATTTAAATGTCCTTACAGAGGAAGTTGATGTAACCCTCAAAGCCAAAAGAAAAAATGAACTGTGTGGGTTTCTTTTCTCTGGGTTTTGGTCCCTGGTGATATATTACAGACGTCTTGGCCTCACAAGTTAAATGACTGGGGTTGAGAAAATTCCTTTGTTTCTAATACCTCATATTGGGTAATATTACTGTATTTGAGGCAATGGTGTGGTCACCTGATTGGAATTTCTCTTTTTCAGAAGAAACTGAAATCACTTAGTCTGAATGATCAAAAGACTAAGGTATGTGGTCCATACAGATAGCAGATTAAATAATAACTCAATTCACCTGGCATTTCTCCTGTTCATTTCTTGTCTTATATAACTGCTATATCTGCAAATTACAAATACTATGAACAGAAAAGTATATATGGAGCAAAAAGGCAAGAAGTATTAGCAGTTACTTGAAGTTTTGTCCATTAAAAATTGATTTATGATTTAGCTGATACACAATCACATTCTAACCATTATTCTTCAACAAATAAAAACAGAGAGCAAAGTATTACCATATAAATTGATTTAAATGTCGCAACTGAACATAAAGTTGGAATTAGAAAGAAATTAAATTCTAAAATTATTTAGTTTTTTGAAATTACAAAATCCTTTAAACACTAGTTTCGTGAAGAAAATAATCTGACAAAATACCATGAATAGTTTTTTTCTCAGATCTCTAGTATAATGCAAATTAATCCCTTTTAATTAAATGTCTTTCTCTTAAAGCTTCCTTTGAAAGAAATTTCAGCTAAAAGTGCAGAAAAGCGGTACTGGAAATGTACTCATTCCACTGGTCATTCGAATGAGGAACTCAAGGGAGTCAAGAGATATTTATTTATTTTACTCATCTTGCAAATGTACAAATGTACCAAACAATTCCAATAACAGAAATTTTGTTGGAACATGAGGTATTCCACCATTAAAATACAATTTTTTATCACATCAGACATACTACAAATATAAAAGGTAATGATTTCTTACCATTGCTTTGTTTATCGATTCTATTAGTAACAGGCATGTTAGTGGTGACAGTGGGTGGTGTAGTACTAGGAGAGTTTACAGTAGCTGGTAATAAAGATGAGAAAGATATAATTTTGCGAGGAGCACATGACAGTTAATATGGATGAGCAATCTATAATTAATGCATGAAAATACATAGAGGAGAAATGGAAACCGTTTCTTGCCACTAAATATAAGACTCCAAGTTTATAATGCACAAAATGAAGCAATGCTTTCTATGGCACATTAAGAATCACTTCCCATTGGTGCCATATTGCACAAGAGTCTGGAGCTGGCAATAGGATCTGGAGAAAGAATATGGAGATTCTAGACCTAGCTCTGCCATGAACAGGCTGATGACCACACAGCGAATTACTAAACCTTTCTACAACTCAGTTTCCTAAGTTTGTAAAAAGAAAAGCTTCGAGAAGTCAGCCTGTACAGCACTTATCAGCTTGAAAATTATCTAATCGAAGTCAGTCTTCCTGATAATTTGAGACTAGAGAAATAAAATCTCAGAGGAAAAGGAATTCCTCCTTGAGAAGATAAATGTAAAGAAAAACAAAAGAGAATAAAATGTATAGACTAAATCAATCATATATAGATCCCAAGAACTTTACTAAACAATGATGGATAAAACCGATTTCATAAGGGCAAGCCTTACAGGGGAGACATTTTCAAGGCATTATGTCATTGCTATGCTTCTGATACTTCTAAACTCTCCAAGATTAAACCCTTATGTAATGCTTTGATAATATCTTTCTAAGAAATTCTGGAGTAGCGATATAAGCAGTAAAATAACTCTACACATAATTTTCCTTTAGTTTATCTTAAGAGTACATTCTCAGATTAAAATTAAAAAAAGTAAAATAAAAATTTTCAAAAAAACTTCAGATCTTGAACTAAGCAAAGTTAAAGTTTTTTCTATTTCATATAACTATTTTAAAACTACACTGAGTTCCTGGAAAGAAACTACTTAATGACTTTACTTTTATAGGGTATTCATCATAATAACATCAAAAAATAATGTCTCAGAAAGGAAACAAAGATAATAATGAAATACACCCCTTCTCCTTGCCTACTCTACTCCCACACTGGCACCACAGAAGAGAGCTTAGGTTTCCATTTGTTGCATCTCACTTCTAACCCTGTCACTTTCATTCTATGATCCTCCTAAAGAGATCCAGCTTTTACAAAAGGCATGGTCATGATTCTTAATGTGGTACATAGAATATGCTACTTCATATAGAAGTATTTAATAGAATAAATGGATGAAAATGGATCATGGGTAATTAGGAAAAGCAATGATAAAATTAAAGCCAAATATTTATATTATTAAAACTTATGTTACTTTAAATATATGTTATTTAGCATGCAACTATTTAGTACATAATATATAATTAGACTACTGACCATAGCATAGTCATTATGCACTATAATAATTAATAAAATTATATTAATATTAGTTTAGTATAACTATTTTTATCTTAATATTTAAGTTATATCACATATCATAAATTGCCTCATGGTCTTGTCTTAAATTTAATATTCAACCTAATTTCTTCCCTTGTTTTTTATACATAAATACTTTTTCAAAATATTCTATGACTATATTTATACTGGACCTTTGCAATATTCTTGAGAAGTAATAGAGGGAAAAAATAAAATCAACCCTTGTTTAATAGCATATAATCATTCACATTTAAAAAACTCAGTGCTTTATGGAAATGTGGTCATCCAGTATGTGAATGCATTCTTTCTCCACACTGTATGCACTGTGCACCCACACAACTAAAACACATCCAGAAATTCTTCTGTTTTGCTGGTTTCTGCCTTCTTGAGTGAAATTAAAATAAAAATAAAAACAATGACAACTACATTATCCAAAATAGCAAGTAGAAAACAGAGGGACTGCAGAGGACGTTGGCTCCCTACCTTGACAGAGGGTCCCCAAATCTGCACAGCTGGCTAGTTCTGCTGCTGGGAGTGGGATCAGGTAGGAACCTGGATCAACACAGAGAAAGTATTCAAATTTGACTTATGACTTAATGATATTATCCAGAAAAAAATCATGAATCATATGGTTGGTGTTACAGCAGCTGCCCAAGACGAGTCCACCAGTAATACCCCAACATCAAGAAGGTCTCTTAAGGTCTTTGTGTCTTAATTTCCATAAATGTAAAATCAAGTTATTGAAATTTCCCTCAAAATCTTTAACTCAATTTATTGGCTTCATCCACATATGAAAGGAAAATAAGTGCTGTTGCCCCTTAAAGTTAATGTAAAAAGTTCACGGCCTTTTTGCATAATAAATTATAAGGCTCTGGTGGAAATTCATACAAGTGAAATAATATAAACATCAAAGATAAGTTTCAAGGGGCCGGCCTGGTGGCGCGCGCGGCTCCACTGCAGTGGCTCGGGGTTCACAGGTTTGGATCCCGGGCGCGCACCGACGCACCGCTTGTCAGGACATGCTGTGGCGACGTCCCATATAAAGTGGAGGAAGATGGGCACAGACGTTAGCCCAGGGCCAGTCTTCCTCAGCAAAAAAAGAGGAAGATTGGCGGATGTTAGCACAGGGCTGATCTCCACACAAAAATAAATAAATAAAAAAAAATAAAAAAAAAAGATAAGTTTCAAAGTGAACTTGGATAATATTAATTCTCAAAAAATGCATATTTTCAGTTCATAGGCACTAACATATGCTATTTGCAATTCCAAAAATATATTTCCATGACTTTGAGTTGGTCTCTTTTTATTTCATGCTTTTACTGACTCATCCTCAGCAGAAAACAAATTTTGAGCTGATCTTCTAGTAGGAGTAGTAGATTTTCTCTGTTGCACTAAATATTCCTCTTGCAATTAACAGTTTTTACCAACAGGTTGAGGCTGGGGAAGATAGGCTAAACTTATCACATGACATACTGCACTATGAATAAAGACAGAAGAATAAATACAAATATATACACACACACATATATACACACATACATACACACATAATACATACACAATTTTAAAAGGACATTTCTAAAATAGTAATTCCATTCTCATGTTTAAATATTTTCCAAACTTTCCTGTGGGAACAGAAATGGAGGTAGAGCAGACACATGATCTAACAAAAGATGTCTAAGTAAGTAAACAGTATGCATAAGCAGAAAGCATCCCAACAGTTTAAGAGCATCTTAGGAGTCATGGGTTCTTCATTCCTGACTGCCTCAGACACCTTGCCCAAAAAAGTAATCACGTTACCTCAGAAAGACCCAACCCTTCAGCAGGTCTATGATGTTAACTAGCAAGAAGGTCTCATCACAGACCTTTATGTGCTCATTCAATAAACACTTACTTACTGTTTATAGTGTGTGAGGCACAGAGGTGAGAATAATGCTTTAAGACAACGTCGCTGCTCTGAGAGGCAAGAATGGGGATGGCTTCACAGTTCTCTGAAAGCTATACGTGAAGTGCTTAGTGGACCAAAGGAGGATGTGACGAGCAGCTTGGTGGGAATGGTGAACAGGAAATCCATTACAAAGAAGAACTGTGAGGAATACGAGGGGTCACTATACTGATCAGGGGATAAAAGACTACAGTTCGATATTACTAGCACACAGAATTACTGAAACATATATGAAGAAGGTAGTGAAAATGTCTGGGAACCCAGGTGACACAGCATTACTGGAGTAGGGTAATTGTAGAAAATTGGTAGGAATGATCAGATATACAGGTAATGGAGAGCTCTCGAAGGGCCTTGTGGAATGTAGGCACCATGAGTGCTGGACTCTGTGTCTGTCTTCCAATGGTGTACCCCACACACATAGTAGAGGGGTCCTCAAGCTTTACTGACCAAATTATCGAATGCATTATTAATAACTGCTAACATTTTGAACTCTTTCTTAAAGGAAATGGGAAAAAACGAAAGGGAACTTGGTGAGAAAATTAGATTTAAATTTGAAGCAATCACTTCTGAGCCTCCATAACCATCTAAAAGAGGGGAAATACAAGAGGCATGAATACTAATAATTCAGGCTTGATATCATGAGTACAATGAGGATGGACAGAAAGAGATGGACACAAGACATTTGAAGATAGAATGGCAGGATTTAGTGATTAATTGGAGAACAGGGAAAAAAAGGGAAGAAGGGAGGATGTTTTTCTGGTTTCCAATTTGAGAAATTGGTACACAATGATCTCATAAAAGGAGAAGGGAGATACTAGAAGGGCAAACTTAGGTGGGTGGGCTAAATAGTAAGCCCAGTAATGGGAACTGAGGTGTTGGGAGACATTGAGATACTTAGGTAGTTATACAGGATTTTGTAAGATGTCTAGCAAGGAATCTCAACAGATCTATAGATGTGTCTGAGATCACTAAAGCTAGAGTGTAGATCTGAGAAGCAGACAGGATGGAACCGTACAGATATCCCTATATTTAAGTATCGGATATATTTTTTTAAAAAGAGCTACCAACTTATAGCTCTTTTACAAGGTGGTTTTACAGAATTCAAGTGAAGAGAGTTTCGTGGAGGGTGTGGTAACACCGAGTATACCAGTAAAGTCAAAGATGATAACAACTCAGAAGACCTTTTCACTCTGCCCTGGAACTTGGGTAGCAGCTCTACAGAAAGTCATTTCAGTAGTGTGGGAATGATGAACTCCAGTCTGCCAACATTTGATTGAGGAGTGAAACGCAAAAAGAGGAAACTTGGCTATGAAAGGAAGTTGAGAGAGGGAGGGGGAGTTTTAAAGATTGAAAATATAGACAAGCATACCATGGAAAAAGAGCATTTGAGGAGGCGGACGTTGAGGCCAGCCTCAGACCAGACTGAGGTAGAATTTTATCTTGAATGTTTTCTTCCCATTATTTTTTCCCATCACTTTTAACTTATGTCTTAACTTGCAGGACTTCACTGCTCCTTTAGGTACTTATACTTTAGTAAGGAACTTGTGAAAACTCAAATGTCTTTAAAACTCAAAATGACCGAGGAAATCTCAGGCACTGTGATATGCAAGAGAGGAGACCCTGAGATGGAGTTCCTGTGCTTCTCAAATTACACACAGTGCTGGCAGTCCCAGGCTCCCTAAGCCACTTCTGGCATTGATACAGTATCTCTGGAAGACAAAGGGAGATAAGGGGACAATGTTGTGGGAAAGAAGTTTTCAGGCTAACTACATTTCCACTGCAGTATACTGAAGAGCTTAGAGGTGGAAATAAGGCAAGAAAATCAGAACAGTTATGATTTAGAGTGAGATATTTAACAATTTTCTTGAAATTTCATCAGTGTCATTGCATGGTAACAAGTATAAATTTCAATATGTGATATCCTTGTCACGGGAAATTGTAACATTGACTTCTCAATATTTAAATCATCAGTTGTTCATTCTTGGGCACCTAGTTTGGCAAATTGGCATTGCTTTATAAATACTCAAGAAACACTACTTTATGATGATTCAATACAGCAATAGAAATTAAATTTGAAGATAGCTTTAGTGAAAAATGGCATAAACACAAGTGAAGAGTTTAATTAGAAGGAAATTATATTGATGAGTGAAATCTTTACATTACAAATACATCAAATTATATAAACAAATACATGAAATATAGAAAGTGTACACAATTTTTTTATTTCCACCCAGTTCTATTTTCAGCATATTTGCATAAAAACGGTTACTCTTGTCATCCATTTTCCTAGGGCAACAGATTTACAAACCAGGAGATAGTTAAGGAAGAAGAGACAATTCTCTCCTGGATAATGATATATTTATCATCAAGGAATTGTTTTCAGAATGTGACCTATGTGTGTTCCCTGATTTTTGTGGATACCACAAAGGTGTTTAAAGGTATTTACTTAACCATAAAATTTAGAGCCAAATTTCCTTGAAAAAAAAGTAATCACTGAAAATGGGCAGTTGACGAGAAGCTGTAAAGCCGTTAATCTTTCTTCTGTATCTCTTGTTCTTCCCAAATCATGCTACTGAAAGGAGTCACTACTTATTTACACAAGTTGTTGTAAAAAAGATAGATATGCAGCCAACTCAACTCACACCCTACTGATACTCGAAATAACAGCTGACAAAATTAAACCTTCAGGGTGAGTTGCAATAATGGGAAAAAAATAATTCCTTTCAATTCCCTCTTTGCAGCTGTTATTAAATTGAATTTTACCATTTTTTCATAAATAAATCATTTAAAATAAAATTGTTTCTGGAAGCCGTTTATGCTCATGAAGCATAAATTTTGGGCATCTTCAAAGAATAAAGTCCTTTGTAAAGATAAAGTGATTTTACCTTTATTTAAAAAATAATATAGTAATTTAAAAATGCTATACACAATAATCAGGGATGAAAGGAAGAAGCCAGTACTGAATCACAGTTTTAGGCTGTGCAGGCCATAGCTGAAAATGAAAGGGTAGGTATCCAAAAGTTGATGGAACCTTGGTAATTAAGTGCAAAATTTTGGAAATGAAAACAAAAGTCGGTACAAATCCAAACATTTCTAGAAAAGAATAACAATAAAGTTAGGTACTTATGAACTGTGTCTTATCTCTACATCCACAGTGGCTAATAAATGGAAGTGCTTAATAAACGCTTGTTAAATAAATGTAATTTGTTTAAACTGAGGCTATTCATTGAGTTATACTGTACCACTCCTCAGGAAAGAGCAGTCAGCAGTAAAATAAATAGAACTGTAGAGAAGGTACTGTCTGTTCTTTGTGAAAACTGACGGACATTAGCCAGTATCTAAACTTGAATCATAACACAGGCAAATACTTGCTCCTGTAATTAAAGAGCCCGCTGGGAGAAGTGTCTATCCATGGAGGTCATAAAACTGAATATGTTCAACAGAATTGTCCTAAGAAAAAGAATGATGCTATAAAATAAAAAGAACTGGGCCGGCCCCGTGGCTTGGCAGTTAAGTGCGCATGCTCCGCTACTGCTGGCCCGGGTTCGGATCCCGGGCGCGCACCGACGCACCGCTTCTCCGGCCATGCTGAGGCCGCGTCCCACATACAGCAACTAGAAGGATGTGCAACTATGACATGCAACTATCTACTGTGGCTTTGGGGGAAAAAAAAAGGAGGAGGATTGGCAATAGATGTTAGCTCAGAGCGGGTCTTCCTCAGCAAAAAGAGGAGGATTAGCATGGATGTTAGCTCAGGGCTGATCTTCCTCACAAAAAAAAAAAAAGAGAGAGAGAGAACTGCTGCTAAATAAAGCATTTCTTTCTGAAAAGGGCTGACAAGGTTAATGATGTCTTAATAAAAAACCTGCTGAAAATGTCTTAATTAAGATATATTCCTGAAGTATGCTTAGAATAGTTTAGGAAAATAAAAAAAGTCCAATTCTGAAATTGATTGAAACATCTATTGATTTTATTAAGGTGAGGATATTTAATATTTGAAACAAACGACAGAACATTTTAAGGTTAAATGTAGTCAGTTCTGTGCTGAACCGACTTATTTTCATATGAAAATTTACTTAGCAATAGACCTTTGGAAAATCTATTCCTTTTCTACCACAAGTTGATTCTGGAATAAAAGCTCATCTTTAAAAGACATTGTCAGGCTAATGGAATGTTAGGCATGAAATTCTATTTTCCCATTGGTTACTGTACTGATCATCAGTTTTTAGAAATTACTTTTACCATAAACAGCAAGCCACAATGTTCTGGAAAAAAGGAAAGGTTAAAATGTTAATAGAGCATAATTTTTTTCATTTATTAAGTTTTGCTTAGCTGACAACCTTAGATATAATCTCTGTTAACAGGTATTTCCTGTCAGTTAATAAGTGACTTGGGCTCTTCAACTTCCGAGGCTGATGATTAAGCAGAAGGATACTCCCTCTCTCTCTCCCGTTAATGCTCCCGAAACACAGTCCAGGATATCTGAGCCCACGGAATGGGGGTGTTCAGCGTCATCACGGAATGTCAAGACAACCTCTCTAAAAATTAAAGGAATTCAAACACACTGACGCTGTAGGCTTCTGCTCCTTCTTTGAAAACAATCATTTGAAAACTTATAGATGACTAAGCTACATGAGTATGTATCTGATGCATTCCGGTAATCTTAAGGCTCAGGAAAGGAGTTTTTCAGACAGTGTTAAAGGCAATAGAAAAACTCATGGGCATGGCTGTGTTCCAACAAAACTTTATTTACAAAAACAGGTGGCCTGCCACAGGCTCTCCTAGTTTGCCAACTCCTGGTCTACAGGATTTCTTAGAAAAGTTTAGAAATTCTTATATACTATATCCCTCACATTTTATTATATTAATGTATCCAAGAAGCATCACAGGAAAGAAACTTTATTAATTTTGTTTAAAATAAATATCACGTTAACACTCTGGGAAGCTAGTGTTTTCCCACAGAATGCACTCTGGCCAGAAGTGGACTTTCAGACTCCTCATCTGGGTTAGTGAGCTCACCTACTCTAGTATTAAGTCTCATCTTCTAGTCCTGCTTATTCTGAAGGACAGTCTAATTTATACCAGTTAAGAGAGCACAGCTCTAAAGCCAAACTTCCTTGGTTCAATTCCTGGCTTGGTCACTTATTAATTAAGTGGCACTGAAGAAGTTACTTAATCTCTTTGTGCCTCAGATTTCTTATCTGCAAATGAGATTAATAATAAAACCCACATCATGGGATCTATGTTATAAGAAATTAGTTAATATATCTAAAGTGCTTAAAACAGTACCTTGTACATAATACGTATTCAATTTAAGTATAAACTAAGTATTAGCAATTATTCCTATAGCTAACTAAATTCTTTTTTTTTTTTTTTTGGTTGCCATAGTCCTCAAATACTGCCCCATAGAGAGGCAAATATTAAACAGTCTATATTATGACTTTCTAATAATGGCCAAGTATATGGCAAACACAGGCCCCTTGACTAAAGATGATCACCCTGGATATAAGAAGTGCCCCACTGGCCTCTCCTTGCTGCTCACCATCCCACACCAAACCCACACACTTGATCTTCTCAGTTCCCTCAATGAGTGAAGGACTTCTCTATAGCTAATCTCAGCTGAGAGGATGCTGGGCACACCATTAGCTCTTACAAAGTTCCGCAGTCTCCTTTTCGAACAGGGTTGTGGTTTACCCTCTTTCCAGCAACCCACAAGGAAATACCTCCCAAATGACATCACTTAATAGCCTCCCACCATCGGCAGGAGCACCATGGACCACACGGGGAAATGGGTGACCCACAGGGCAGGGTAGGTAACAGTAGTTCCCCAGTCTGGAAGGGCAAACACAGGTCAGGGGAAGTGAGAAGATGGCCTCAGGTCTTCACAATGGGTCCTATTTTGTTCAAAGTATTGGGAATGAATTTCTGTGGAATCCCCTCCAAAGTCACATACAAATTACTTTTTAATATTAGGCCCCTTCTTCCCCCCTTAATGAGAGTTATCTCTGAGACTAAAAAGTATGTATTACCAACACCTTAGAGTCAGTCACATGACATTCAAAACTGACAAACTCCTTTTTTTATCTGAATCAGTCCTGTGGTAAAATGAGGACTTCTAAAATTAACTTACATACATAGAGAATATTTGACCGAAGTCTATTTTAATATAATTTGTGACATAGATTTCCCTAAATACTTTGCTTTTAGCTACTTTCAATAATAACACCTTTAAAGTCTCTCAAAGAGCAACCAAAAAGAGAGAGTATTTGAAGCAAATGACAAACGCTCATTTTTGAAACAGAGAAAAGAAGTTCAAGGAAAAAATTGTTAATTTCAGATTATCAAAGATTTTTGATAAAATGGACAGTTTTGATATTTAATACCATTCTTTGAGGTGGTGGTTGTTTATTTAAATAATGTAATGGAATTTTCATTCCAGGATGATAAAGATCAGCTTTTTACTGTATCATTTTTGTGATTAAAAACAATAACTTAACTTCTTTTGTTTCAGTCCCAGTGTTAACATCTCTCTTTGAGACATGATAATTATAACTGTTGTTATGTTAGTGATAAACTATGTGATATTTTATGACATAAAGAAAACTTAAAAATAGTAGGATCAGGGGCCGGCCCGGTGGGGTAGTGGTTAAGTTCGTGCACTCCAATTCGGCTGCCCGGGGTTCGCAGGTTCAGATCCCGGGCACAGACCTACACACCGCTCTTCAAGTCATGCTGTGGCAGCGTCCCATATAAAGCAGAGGAAGATGGGCACGGATGTTAGCCCAGGGCCAATCTTCCTCTCACACACACACACAAAAAAAAGTAGGACCAAAAGCTTTGATTGAATACACATGGCTTGTAATCAAATGCATACTACAAATGGCTGAGCAGGTAACATTTTAAGAATTAAAAGAGCTTATTAATGACAAATATATATAAGTATATTTACATATATACACACATACATATTTGTGTCTATGTGTATATATATATATACACATATACAAATCTGTGTGCGTATAATTTCTTGTTGACAAACATATGCATAGAACAATGCTAAAAAAACAAGAGTGAACATGCCACAGACTTACCACAGCTTAGGTTGCTTTCGGCTCTCAGAGCTGGGGTGGGGATGTTCCAGAAGTCATTTTGCCAGTCGACTACATTCCCTTTCACATTGCAGCTGAGGTTGGAGAGGATTTTGGAATTCATGGTAAAATTCCAAAGTCGAAAGTTATAAATGTCCCCTTTTAGAGAGGCGATTTCATTTTGATTGGAGCCCAACAACAATTTCCCATTCCCAGGAATAACTTGACTAATGGTAGAATCGCATGGAACTGTTTCATAGTTTCTTTTGAAATTTACACCAACTGAGCCCAGAGAATTATTCCAAACGATGCAGAGCTGCTCAAAGCTTTCTGTGAAAATGTCATCTTTATCCTTTACAGGTAAGGCGTTGTTTAGCAAGCATTTTGAGCCAGAAATAGATAGAAAGTAGCCATTCTTGGCCTTTCCAAAACTGAGCAATTCTGTGAAGGATGCATTTGAGTAGGAGAAAGCTATCCATTCATTGTCTTCCTTGCCAATTCTGGTTGCTTCAAAGCACAGCGTGAAGGCAGTGAGCTCCGGAATAGAGACACTTTTTGCAACAGACACCTGGTAAGTATCTAGCGTCTGGGGTAAAATGACCTTTTGATTTCTTAAGGACACAGCGACTGGAACAAAACACAGTAACAGATAAAACACGTTAACTTCAGATATGGGCTAATCTGATACACCCAATCTCTCCGCCACACTTTACCACTTGACTTCTGCCCCACTGCTCCGCTGTTGTCTGTCCACCCGGCTCTCTCTCATCAACCCATCACCTTATACGAATAACAAGAGTAAGGTACCCCAGGAACTCTAATCAGGAACCTAAACCTTTGAGTCATAGCCAGCCAAGTTGATAACAAGTTTGTTTTTTTTTTAATCCCTGAACTGGGGGTAAAAAAAAAAACACACCATAATTAGGGAAACTACCACTTTCAGGAAAGTTCTGTTTATACATGAAGACTTTCAAAACTCTGTTATTTTTCAAATAATTCCTAAACGTAACAGCTAACAGTTCTACTTTTCATTAACACTTGCCTTTCACTCTTCTCAAACCCTCCTATGCTACCCTCCCCCTTCAGACACCCATCTCCTACTTGTTTTCCTCATCGCCAGGCTATTTTAACAACAAAGGCAAAGACACTCCATGAGGAGAGGGAGTCTAGTAAAAAGACAAACAAAAATGGAATTTTAAACTATATTTCCTAGGGCCGGCCCCATGGCTTAGCGGTTAAGTGCGCGCGCTCCGCTGCTGGCGGCCCGGGTTCGGATCCGGGGCGCGCACTGACGCACCGCTTCTCTGGCCATGCTGAGGCCGCGTCCCACATACAGCAACTAGAAGGCTGTGCAACTATGGCGTACAACTATCTACTGGGGCTTTGAGGGGAAAAAAAATAAATAAATAAAAATTAAAAAAATAAAAAATAAAAAAATAAACTATATTTCCTTTACTTCTAGACATCTGAGCTAGTTGTTGAGGGACAGTAAGGAGCAGTGGGTGAAAGGGCAGACGATCGAGCTTCCTGTCCCAACTCTTCCCAACTCTTCCACAGGGTGCCCTGCGATCTTGGGCATCTCCTTGACCTAGCCCTATCCTAGTCTCTCTGTAAACTGAGAGCCGAGGGCGTCTCCTGCACAGGTGGGCAATAAGCATTAAATAAGTTGATACCTGCAAAGCGCCGGAGCAGGGCCTGGGCCAGAGTCAACAGACAGCTATTACTGATTCCCAACTATGACTATCATCATATGCATAATCAATTCAAAAGAAAAACGCATGCACCATTCTGTGACATACGTGAAAGGATTAAATAACGCAATTTATTTAACAAGTTACTAAATAATCGCCCTATGCTAATATAATAGTGACTGTGAAAGGTTATGTACTGATTCAAGAGAGAAGTGGCTCTCCTCAAAAATACTGTTTAATGCCAGCTTCCTATAAATGCTGCTTTGAATAAATTTTAATATACATGAAGAATAGGTCTATGGACCTCTTGGTAAATAGGTTTTTACCTATATGGTAAAAACCTCATTTTAACATAAATATTCTAGCTAAAAATCCACAATGGAATTTAATAGAATCATGGATTTCAGCCTACTTTTTAAATATCAAGCAGTTTATAGGTCTATTTACCCAAAGGGACACTTATGCAATATAAACCTAGTGTGCTATGTTTGTTGTTAAAATAAAAAGGCTGGAAGGAAATATGTCCATCAACATTTTTCCAGTGGTGATGGCTGAGGCAGATGTATAGGTAATTCTAATTTGCTTCTTTTTTATTTCCAAATTTCCTAGAATATTTTATAATTTTTAAAAAATTATTTGAAAAATTAAAGCCTGTGTTTCAATTAACCACACATATATCTAATGTCAGTCACACACAGTAAATACCTCTGCCACCAAAAACACAATTTATAATAATAAAGGTTACTCCTTTTCATAGTGGTGTTTCTTTTTTTTTGATACATTACATCTACTTAAGAAACTCAAGAGAAAAAAAAATGTATAACTAACATAGTCTTGAAGCTTGAGTTTTTCTTAAGCAAACACAGGCTTCAGAGAGAATGAGATTATTTAAATGTTATGATACGCCAGAATCTGGGAAATGTATTCTATAAAAATATTTTTTCTTTCCTTCAAATTTTCAAGAGGCTTTCTTCAGACTATGTTGTTTATTAGCTTAAGTTATAAATAGCTCTTTTTCTATTTTAATTTATATGCTAATTTCCTATATTTATCTCCTAGCATCGTTCCTTAAAAGGGCAACATCTTAAAAGCCTAAAATAAAATAATTTCTAACTAGGAACATTTTAAATATTCAGTGGACGGACGTTAGAATTACAGATTTTAATTATTAGTTGTGGAATATCTACAATGTCTTCCAAGCAGCTTTTAAATATTCTGCATATAAACAATACAAAAGAATTCAGCTCTACGGTAACCAGATTTTGGATCTGGTAACTATATATTGTTAATGAGAATGCTCAGAGAATATTAACAGATTCTTGCCCTTAAATTCTAATCCTAATCATTCACCTTCACATAAAAGAGCATAACTCTGTCTTCTGGTCCTCATGTTTATTGTAGAATATGTTAAATGAAAGCAGAAGGTTGGCGCCGCCTTTGGTTTACATACCTCTGATGTAGCTGGCATTGAAACCTTTCTTCTGGATGCTAAAGTCACTTGAAAAGGACACATGCATCTCATTGGCACTTGAGTTAAATGACAGGCCTTTGGCAGTTGCTCCACAAAATTTAGTCTGGCTCTCTCCATTATCAAGGGATAATGAGTCATAAATGCAATTGGGAGCTTCTTCAATGTCGAAGTCATTAAACGTTATCTGAATGATATAGCCGGTGGGGGCTCGGAGGGTCCACATGCAGGCCTGGCTGTTAGGGTAGTCGTTAGGGTAGCACGGAGAGGTGAAGGCCCCAGAAGGGTTGGAGAGGATAAGCCTGCAGTTGGCACATCCCCACACTGTTGGCCGGACAAAAGAGAGACAGAGAGAAGGGCTAGGATCAGAGGCGTCCGATAAACCAAGAATGCCACACACTGGGGACAACCAAACAGTAAACATTTTAAAATACCAAATATAATTATGGAAACTAAAAGGAAAATGAAACCATCTCAAGGAAAAAAGAAAAACCACAAGGCAACAAAAAGTAAAGGAAAAATACACAAGTTTAGAGCAATGATTCTTAAACTTGAGGAGTCATATACTCTTAAGAACCTGGTGACAGTTATGGGAACTCTCTCCAGGAAAATGCACAGGGGCTACGACACTTCGAGTACAATTTTAAAGAGTATAGGAAACTTCCAAAGGCAACCTCAGATTTCACAAAGGTTCACTGACCCAGGTTAAAAAGCTCTACTCTAGAGCTGAACTGGGCTGGAGAGGGATATTGAACCATAAAGGCAGAACTCAATATTACAAACTGTGCGTAGAAAGGAAGAGAAACTCATAGGAAATAAATGCTTAAATTGAAAGTTACCAATACAAAACGACAATCAGGTTATCTTCTGACAGACTGTACTTTTTCTAAAATTCAAATAAATAGCATCACCTTGCATGTGTGGAATATTTATAGTTTTGAAAGTACTTTCACTTATCCTTTTATTTACCCTAATGGGTAATTACATACTTGTGTGATTATCTCATTTGTTCATTCATTCAATAAATATTTATTGTGTGCCTGTCATATGCCAGGCACTATTCTAAACAGTATATATCAATGAGCAAGAGAGACAAAGTCTCTGTCTGAATGTTTCTTACACTTCAGTTTTGGACCCAAAGATAAACAAATAATAATAAAATATAATGACAGATGGTAATAAGAGGTAGAAAGAAAAGTAAAACAATCAATTATTTCTCAATTATTATTTATCCGGGGCCTGGCCACCAGCTGGAACCAGAAACCAAGGTCTACTGTCTTCCTATCTAGCAATGCTTTTGCAATTAATATTCATGTTGCTTTTTTGTTTTTGCTGAGGAAGATTGGCCTTGAGCTAACCTCTGTGCCCTTCTTCCTCTACTTTGTATGTGGGGTGCCACCACAGCATGGCTTGATGAGTGGTGTGTAGGTCTGCACCCAGGATTCAAACCCGTGAACCCCGGGCCGCTGAAGCAGAGCACGCTAACTTAACCACTATGCCATCGGGCCGGCCCCCAATTCATGTTACTTTTGAATATCTGTATAAATGTAGGCAGTAGACTCATTTATCCAACATTCTGAATTAAAAAAACTGCCATAAAACTGACACTTACATTTTCAAACAATGAAATACTTTAACCACGTTAATGGAAATCACTCTAGATTTATTGTGTTCCTTTCTCTTTTACGGAGTGGAGTAGAATGAATACGCAACAACTTTTCTTGAAAATGGCAGTTATTACAAATTTTACTTATTCTTCTATGATACGGAGATATATTTAAGGACTTATTAGATACGTTACACTGCTCACATTAAGTTTTCTTTTGTCTTTTCCTTGCGGCCACCTCATGGTACGCACTGTTTCACTTTGCCAACCCTGCTCCCCATCCATTCTTGCTAACTCGCCCTCCCTCCGCTCTTCCTCCCTAAGTCTCCAACATCCTGTACAGAGCTGAAGACAGACAGGGAAAACGATTTACAATCATCAAGTGTTCTCCAAATGCCTCCTCTTATCCATCCCTGGAGCACCGCGTTTTCCTCTTCTTGGTAACATTCTTCACTGCAGTTGTGTTACTTCCATTGGTGAGATTATTTGCCTATTGTCTGTCTTCTCCCACCAGACTCTAAGCTCAACAAGCAGAGGGTAGGTACTGTCGTATTCATCATCTTACTCTTCTGGACCTGACAGAGTCCCTGACACATGGGAGACCTTCGATAAAATGTGTTAAATTTATGAACAAATAAGAGTAGCTTAAATGAATGGAAATGTGCCTAAATCAAAAATGACTAAGTCTGGTATATGAAACTAAGTCAAACAAAGACTAAGTCTGAAAAAAAGATAAGGAGTGAATGAGCGCTGGAGTATCTCTTTGGATGGGGTTTGGGGCTCTTTCTTCCAAGTATTTCTCTCATAGCACAGGATTGAGAGGACTGGGTCTCTCTGACAAGTTTAGCTGCCTGTTACCGTATCTTGCGCTCAGGAGAGAGAAGTAATCCTAGAGAATCAACAATAATGTATCCAGTAATAAGCACTGAAGACTAAAAGAGAAAAATAGAAAGGAAAATAAGATACACTCTCTGTGTTATTCCAACATACATTCAGGCAGCATCGTTTTTCCAAAATGAGATGCCATCCCCCATATCCAGACCCAAGTAATGTTCATGACTTTCTTTATCCTGATATATTATTTTTGCCAAATTCTTCCCTAAGAGTTAAATGAAAGGTACAGGAAAATTCAGTTCGACTGATACTGACTGTAATCTTGAACAAGTTTCTCCCTGTGCTTCAGTTTCACCACCTTTACACAGTGGTAATAACAGCACCAACCTCCCAGGGTTATTGGGAGGACTGGATGGATTAATACTGGGAAGTCTTAGGAGCTGTACGAGGCACCACACTGAGCCCTATGTAAGTGTAGGCTATTATTAATCATTACTGTAACACAAAATCTGTGCATCAATAATTTAAGAGAGGAAAAATAGCGCGGCACCTTAGTAGAATCTTTTCTCCCTTAGGCACTCATTGGGATAGAAAAGAGAAAGAGAAGACACACATAATATTCATTAAAAAAACATTTAAAGCATTCTTCTATATAGTTTTTATCTACAGTAGATAGACAGCATTTAGAGACAGTGCTACTACGTAGTAATTATCTTAATTGGATGAAATGTCAATTTCACTAGGCGCAATATCATCATGTTCATTATATTTATAGATTGTGTCACAGTAAAGGGCTTTCACATCCATTATTTCATTTGACATCATAACAACCTTGGGAATTAGCACCACCTCCATCTTCAGATGAAACAAATAAGGCTAATATAGATTATTGCTTCAGATGAAACAAATAAGGCAACTTGCCCAAAGGTACACATCTAACTGACAGCAGGACCAAGATTCAAACCAATCGTCTGAATGGAAGTCTAGTGTCTTTATAGGAAAAAGTTTTCACAATGAAACAAAAGACAGAGGAAAGTGGTAAGCTCGAGTACTGTTTTAAGAGACAACATTTTTTAACGGGCAATTTCTTAAACATAGTGTAATCACCCTAAAATTAATATATTTTAAGAAACCAATTTTGAAATATTTGAGTAAAGAATCATAGAGAGTCTGGAATATAGTACTTTGGATTTGTCAATTTGGGGCAATCAAATGTCACTGCTTGTTGATTCCTACAGTATGAGCTAGTTCATTAAGAAATTAATTTGTTCTCTCTTAAAAGAAGAACTACTCAAAAAGAAGGCTACTGAAGCAGCCACTGAATGAGGCCTTGGTAAAACCTGAGTTAACATAGCTTCCAAAGGCTACCCAACTCAAAACATCTGGATCAAGTTGTTCTCAAAGACATAGAGTAACATATTCACCCTTATAATTTATAAAAGCAAAGTTTTCAGGTAATCTAAACAAACAACAAACCAAATTCCACCCTTGGCTCTTGCCTATGTTTGCAAACCTTCAGTAGTAATTTACTCGTGCATATTCTCACAAAACTTTATTCTTCAAAGAAAATCAAATCTAAAATGGAAAACCTCCCAGTCATGCGAAAGCCCAACTCAATTTATAAACAACATTTAGATATAGATTTAATAACCCTTATCTTATGAGGTTTTTTCATCTCAGAGATTTAGATTCTTACTCCACCCTTGTTGCAAGAACTTTTCTGTAAATCAAATACTACGTTCTTTGAAATCTAAGATAGGGATATCAGATCCCAAGAGATAAATCAAAAGAGGTCAACTTTAGCTGCTTTCAACACAGAGCTGTAGATGGAATAACTATTTTTCCTACACTGTGTTAAATGGTGAACAAAATGAATGAATTGAGATTAAATCTTGTTTTTTATTTGAAAGTGTGTAAAACTGTTGCTGATGAACTTGTTGGAAAACCTCACTGGTAAAAATCATCTCCAGAAAATTTCACTTAAGTTACCTGCTCAGTTTGCATCTATTCAAAGTTCTTGTTTGAATTATCTATGTGACTATTATTAAATTCTAAAGAATGAAAAGTTTGTCAGTTGCCTAAAAAAGATTAAAATATTTAGTAGCTTTGGTTGTTTCTGAAGATTAAACCTAAGGGCCAGCTACCGAGAGTTTGAGGACCAGTTCTAATGCCTACGTCACTACAAAGCCAGGGCAGCCACACACCATTTCCCCAGATCAAGTAAAATGCTGCCAGATGTAACATCATTGAAATGTAAAATATAAATAATACTTTAGATGCTGGCACGTATTAAATGGCTAATAATGTACAGAACTGAAGGACTTAATCAAAGAAAGTATTTAAATTTAAGTGACTTCAGAGCTGTATGCAGATTTTTTTCAGGATGGCAAGGAATCTGAAGGCAATCTGGCTGTGACATCTGCGAGTCTGTTAATGTGATAGACTTGGCAAGCATCCGCACCCGCCTTCACCCTCCTCTTCAAACTCCTCACTCAAAGATAGCATTTCCATGTAGGGGAGGGTCATTCTTAAACCAGGGTTACATTGGTCATTCCGATCTCCTACTAGAACTTCCAGAGCCAAGCAAGGATATCAGTTCACTCCCAAACTCCTCCTAAAACACTGGTTTCCCCAGAGTTAACCAGAAAATTGACTTCCTTCTGTGATGTTTCAACCTCAAAATGTTCTTTGGAAGCCCCACGAATATGAAGCTACCACAATGACTTATGCATGAGTTCAAAAGGGTAGCTCTTTACTTGAATCAGTTAAATTAAGTTGGACACAGCTAGAAACTACCAAGAAGTTAAACTGAAGGTTCCTTAATGAGGCATCATTAACCTTGACAATTTTTTGAATCTCTGAAGAGATTCATATGCACCACACC